GAAGCCTTCCCGCAAGGAGCGCCGCGACAGCGGACAGTATAGCAAACGCAAGACCAAGGTGGGCAGACCGTGTTCACTAGCTTAAGATTCGAGTGGAGCGTATTGGAAAAGAGGGAAGGAAGGAGGGGCGATCGGTGTAAACTGCGGATCCTAAATTTCCCGTAGGCGGCCAAGTTCCCGGTTTTTCCCCGCTGTTCACGGTGCCGCTGTGTGAGTGTCGTGACGTGACAGATGTGTGACCGCCTGTTGTCCTTTAGGTGATGGTCACTCCGACCGCTCCGGACATGAAGGCCGAGCCTCACGACGATCTCGGCTCGGAGGACGAGCTCCAGGGTAAGTGGGATGGGCTCCAGGGTAAGTGGGATGAGCTCCGGGGTAAGTGGGACGAGCTCCAGGGTAAGTGGAACGAGCTCCAGGGTAAGTGGCAACTGACGGCCGGATAGGCGAGACGCGCGGTTGGCGCTCAGAGAGTGGGGTAGAAAACGGCCATACCGTCTGCGAACGTGAGCATGAAGTCAGATTCGTCTTTTTTACGGCTCATTCCAACACGAACATTGATGAAGAAAGCTTAAAACAGCATCTGTGCTTTCTCAGAGCTTCAAAAGCGTCTGCGGGCCTGTTTGAAGCCTGTAAACGTTTCACCACCTGGCTGTTGTATGATCATGCCTTCTTCCTCACTACCCAGGTTACGAGGTGGACGGGTACGACACCTCCGGCGGCGCGGCCGCGTACGACGGCGGCGTGCCGTACGAGACCGGGGACACGTCGTACGGTACGGCAGCGGACGGCTCGTACGACCCGGCCGCCGTCGGTGTGGCCGACAACGTCGAGGTCAAGACCGAGAGCGACGAGGACGACGACTTCTCCAACCTGATCATGGTGGCCAACGATGACGACGAGGAGGGCTTTAACGACGACGACGCTGAGGGAGACGGTGATCCGGATCGGGGCCAGCTCTCTGACGAGGACCAGGACCCGCTCGTGATCGATGAGGCGCCCGCGCGCGGCTCGGCGTCGCGTCGCGGTAAGGGCGCCAAGATGGCCACCAAACAGGCCCAGCGCGGGAAGCCGGGGCCACGTCCGAAGAACGTCAGCAAGATGTGGAGGCAGCAGCGGATGATCAGGAAGGACAAGGGGGTAAGTCGCGCCAGGAAGGGTGGATATCGATAAAGCGCAAAATGAAAATGGCCATATCTGGCTAGCGGGCTCGCTTTGACTGTTTCTGGTGCTGTTTGACACAAGTGTTTTGTTTTTGAATGGATTCAGTTGTATTGTTTTGATTGCCTACGTGGATTTCCAGTTTTCATTGGGCTTGCCTGCCACGCCATATTCAGCAAAGAAGCGTATTGTCGCATTGCTAACTCTTACTCATGATCACTTATAGAAACGTTCGACCATCGCGTAACAACGAGGTGCCCCGTTTTTCCACAGCAACCGCGTATCTCCGCCTACCTGCTGTGGGCGCGAGAGGTCCGTGATTTCGTGGCGCAAGCCAACCCGGACATGGACTTCTCTCAGATCAACAAACGGCTCGGCGCCATGTGGAACACCCTGCCGGACGCCAAGAAATATGTACGTATAGCCGGTACCGTAAACCGGGGTGACTTTGTATCACTTTTGACCAGTTTGGTACAATATCTTGTATATCACTTGAGATTTCACTCTGGAAACTGTTTCATCATACCAATTGGACAATTCTCTATCTAACTGAGTACAATAAATGCCTTGAAATTTATCATAAATATTTTATTTTTTTACCCAAAAATTGATCATTCTCACCCAGACGTCGGGGTGACTATGATCACTACATTAAGATCACCTTATGTGTGCCATAGGAGCCCTCAGAAGGGGCTTGTGTGATAAAATTACATGTTTTGAATAAAATCAAAGGCTTTGCTTGACAAAAACTCACACATTTTACAGTAAAACTATGAATCATTGAGGTATTAAAATAAAGTTGCATGCTCTGGGTCTAAACTGACATTACAGAGCTATAAGCAGCAAAATTAGCTACTTTAACCTCTGTCTTCAAGATTAAGTAACAGTCACAGATGTCCTAAGCCACAGGCTACCTGTTCTACATCACACTTTGTCTGCTGGTGGCTGTGGGACCACTTGCCACACTGTTCATGCCCCTCCCAGCTAATTGTCTTTTTCACTTCCCATTGACGCTCCAATTACCACTGAGATAGAGCAGCTCAATGCTCATCCTCCATCATCAGTATCTAAGGCTTTCCTTTCTCTTTCTTTATCTGGGTCTTTCTCATCTTTACCATTATTTTTGCTGGAGATGCTAGCGAATTTATACTTCATGCCAATGACAACAAAAAAACAAGCTGTGACATGAACGTGATTATTCTAACTGGGACCCAAAGTGTCTGATATAATGCTTCATTGCTCTATTTAACTATTGGCATAGAAAATACAGTTCACAGCAGCTAATTGCTCATTTGAGGCCCAAAATTGGTCTATGATCAAAGTCAACCCGGGTATCATTGTCACCCCGGTTTACGGTACTGACCACATAGTCGACGCTACGCATCTCTTAACGTAAAACGGATAATGATGAAAATATGTGTGGCAGAAAACATTGTGGCAGGTTAATTGTTCTCCATCACCACTGAAACACTACTGGGATGTCTGGTCTGGTGAGCGAGTGGATTGTGGAACAAGTTTTACCATGGCACTCGCACATTGATATATTCACGACACATTCATTTTATAACGATCTATATTATCGGAGTCACAGACACGCCCGGGTCAAAGCCCGCTACTGTGCCGTGACCTGTCCCTCCCATCCAGCCCACCTCACCGCCACCCCTGCCCCACCCGCAGAACTTCAAACGACGCGCTCAGAGAATTAACGGCCGCCACAATGTCCTGGAGGCCTCGGGCTCCTCCGCCAAGATGAAGTCCACCGGCAAGGGCCCCAAGGGGCGGCCTTCCAAGAAGGCTTTGGAGGGCGCCGCGGAGGCTGCCACATCCGAGATGGGCGGCAAACACCCCAGCATGTGAGTGGCTGTGTGGGAAAATGGAGCGGGAGATCGGTATGTGAGACTCAGAGAACCCAGAGACAGGGGACGTCGGGTTGGAGGGAGTTAACAGCACGTGACACAGTGGGGAAGAAGGGAGGGTACCCATTGTCCGTCTCTGTGGACCTTTAGCTTAGTGTGGGCCGATTGGGCAGGGAATGAGTACGTTTGAATATGAACCTGCCGGAATATAATCCCAGTGTCGGTACGTAGCAATGTCAGGCACTGATAAGGTCCACTCTTTGCTACTCTCCAGACAACAAATTCAAAGGTTGGCGCTCTTAAGATCGTCGTTCTTCGATTCCTTACTTCGATCGTAATCTGTCAACCCCCGTATCCGCTGCTCACCGTATAACGTAACGAGTGAGGTCATATTGCGGTGGGATGAGTGTGGATTGACCCGCGCCGTCCCGCAGGCCGCCCCCGTCGATGAGTGAGGCGACGTCTCTGGTGAACCCCACCAACTACCGGGTGTGTACGACACAGCCCATCGACCTGGCCGCTCACATGGTGCTTCTCGGCGAGTCGCTGGGAGTCATCGGACAGAAGCTGCGCGACCACGACGTAAGAGAACCGGGGGTGTTAATTCTAGTTGGAGGGAGGGAGAGAAGGATGTTTATTGTAGTCAAATGTCACTGAGTTGCTCATTTTAAGATACTTCCGAGCAGCGAGGGTAATGACAAAATTGTTGTCAGTATGAGAGCAAACAGAACCAACCATACGCCGGCAATATCACCTTCGACTATGTTCGTCTTACCCGCCGGCCTGTCGATCCTATGTGACCGAAGTACTGACTGACTCTCCCGTGTCTCGACCGGACGGGGTCAGATTGCCGTACTGACCTCCGTGTCTGTGCCTGACGGCTGACAGGGTCAGTTCACCATACTGACCTCCGTGTCTGTGCCGGACAGGGTCAGTTCGCCGTATAACTGGCCGACCCTCTGTCTCGGCCTGATTGCCAGACTGCCGTACTGAGTACTGACCCCGTGTCTGCCGCACAGGGTATCGCCGTACTGATCCCGTGTTGTCACTGTCTGACAGGGCCAGATCGCCGTATAACTGACTGACCCCCGTGTCACTGTCTGACAGGGTCAGATCGCCGTATAACTGACTGACCCCCGTGTCTGTGTCTGACAGGGCCAGATCGCCGTATCGGGCAGCCTCTCCGTGCTTCTCGACTCGCTGCTGTGCGCCCTGGTGCCACTGGTGGCGCTCACCAAACAGGTCCCCGAGCTGGATGGGTGTGACGACCGGGATCTCATCAAGACGCTGGACAATATCGCCTACTTCATGCCAGGGCTGTAGGACACTGCGGTGTAGGCTTGTGAATACTGATGATCACGGGGCTGAATCGCCAGTGATATGCACGGCTCGGCGGGAGCGGCCATTTGTGCGGTGGCACGAAGCGGTGTTTCAGTGGCATGCTGTAGATACCTGAGCGCGTTTGCAGTGTTCCGGTGGACAATCGCGGTAACGCCTTCACTGTTAGTCTGTGGCTAAGTACAGAAGGGTGGAATGCGTTGTATAGCAGCCCAAGCACTGAGCGGCAGAAGACCGCATGGACGGTTAGCTCCGCCACCATCTGTGTTGGCTATGGTTGAGAAAACATAGCCGTGTAAATAGATGTCATAGTGCGGAAGTCAGGAGAATAATGGTCACTAGTTTAGGCTACATGATTCAGCTCACCACCCAACGATCACAACCTTCGTGCGGTTGTGAAGTTGTTTACCTGCCGCACGTCGCGGCTTGGCTGCGAAAGCTGTGCAAACTAAAACGTAGCCGCTTGAGTGGAGAACTGCTCATCATTTGGTTGGATGTGACGTATGCGCACAACGTTCATCGTTAAATATATTTCATCTTCACCAATTATCGCCAGGTTTTGAAGGTTACGTAATTGTCCATCAGCAATTCATAGATACCTAACATTGAAATTTCAGTCGTGATGTAGGTATAACATGCTGCTGATAGTTCCATAGTCTGAGAATTCGGAAAATGATTTGTGTATTTATGTAAGTAACAAACGGCACATCCACCTATTATGCTGCCTTGTCTTTGTTACAAAGACTAACCAGACGACAACCTTACACAGTCACAAAGTCACAACACCTAGTAGTTCTGAGGCTAGCTCTGAGACGGTTTATGGACAGTCGTGTCCATGGAAAGATCACAAGAGCTGCCTTTCAAACTGCCTTCTAGAGAAGTAACGATCACAAAACATCCAAAAAGATCGAATCAGATCACATTGTTCCATTCCAAGGCCACTGAGATTCCCTGCACAGAGCTAAAGGTCCCAAAATGGGGACTGGGCCAAGTCCCAAAAATGCCGTCTGGACACGAGTGGCTGGCTTACCGACTTGGTGTCATTAACAAATACCAACCAGTCGCTAAGTATCCACAGAGTATCTCCCTGACCAGTCGTATCTGCCTGACCCCGCTTACCAGTTACAATAGAAACCACGTAGCATGCTATCCCGTCTTGGTTACAGTTTTACAACACCAACCACATGACAAAACTTGACAACCACATCACAGTAATGCGACGATTATGGACGGTCGGGTCCATACGACAAATAACTGCTGACAAATGACTGTTACGAAAAGCTGTCCTCACTTGTCTTAGTATTAAGTACCTGCCTTTTAATGCACGGAAATCACATCGAAAAGCATCAACCTGACTGTGTTAGCAGAAGTATCACGATAAACATCGACTGTAACAGCCTGCACATGATGTTCCACTGACTAGTCCGGCCTCTCACTCAGCTGATAAATCAGATCTAGTCTCCATGTAGTGAACCTTTGGGATCACCCGTTACCCAGGCAGTGAACGTCGGCGGTACGTGGGGCGCCGGGTCCCGGCTGTCAGGCCAGCCCCGCCGCCCTCCTGCCACCGTGGTGGCTCTCAGGCCAGCCCGGCCACCGTGGCAGCTCTCAGGCCAGCCCGGCCGCCGTGGTGTCTCTCAGGCCAGCCCGGCCGCCCTGGCCATGCCGTAGAAGACGGAGCCCTTGTCGGCCAGCAGCTCGGACGGGGGCGCCATCTCCCTGATACGGCCCGATTCCAGAACCATTACCCTGAAATCGAAATCAATGTTAAATAATATAAAAGAGCTTTTAGCGATAATAAGAGAAAAAACATCGGCCATCAACTGTTTTCGTACAGCTTCAAAACGTAACCTGCCCTAAATAACGCCAAATGGAGTCTACGACTTGGAACTTGCCAATACTCACGCATGGTACTGGCTATTAACCCAGAGTGAGCTCGCACAACTCGCCCACAACGTGCCTGGTGGCGTGACCCCCGTCTCCCCTCCCCCCCATCTGGTGCTGCCCAATGGTGTCACCCTGGTGCTGCCCGGTGGTGTCACCCTGGCCGTCCGGGTACCTGGTGCTGTCCATGATGGTGTTGAGCCGGTGTGCGATGGTGAGCACGGTGCAGTCGGCGAACTCGGACCGGATGGTGGCCTGGATCAGGTCGTCCGTCTCCAGGTCCACCGCCGCAGTGGCCTCGTCCAGCACCAGAATCTTGGTCTTACGGAGCAGCGCGCGGCCCAGGCAGATCAGCTGACGCTGGCCCACACTGTTAGAGACACAGGTCAGGTCAGCGGCGCGACCCAGGCAGATCAGCTGACGCTGGCCCACACAGTTAGAGACACGAGTCAGATCAGCAGCGCGCGGCCCAGACAGATCAGCTGACGCTGGCCCACACTGTTAGAGACACGAGTCAGATCAGCAGCGCGCGGCCCAGGCAGATCAGCTGACGCTGGCCCACACTGTTAGAGACACGAGTCAGGTCAGCAACGCGCGACCCAGGCAGATCAGCTGACACTGGTGCACACTACAGGACACGGGTCAGGTCACCTATCATCAGAATCGTGTCAATGAAACAGAAACATCCCGATTTTTTCCGTAACAAGCTGGAGCAATAAGGTACAGGTCTCGCGGGTTTTAGCGGTAGGTTTTGCACCTAGAAAATTTAGTGTACTTCAGGCTATATCTTCGTCGTCTTAAGCTTTTAAGTGTTGAAGATGCGATCGACTTGTTGGGTAACAAGCCGGCCATGATCGTGTAAAATGGCTTCATCGTAGATCGATTAGTTTCTGAGATATAACCGGAAATGTAAAAGTGCAAAACCTACCGCTTAATCTCGCGAGACCTGTACGTAGTAAGACAGCGACAGAGCAGCCATTTATACAAAATAGCCTCTACCCCAAACTTGCCATATCATGTCTCTGACCGACTTAGGTCGCATTGTGTCCCGTTTTGCTGACCTGAGGTTGCCGCCGCCCTCGCTGATCTCATGCTGCAGTCCGGCGTCCAGTCCCTTGACGAACGTCTTTAGATGGGAGTGCTCCAGGGCGGCCCAGACCTGGTCGTCCGAGTACTGGTCGAACGGGTCCATGTTCTGGCGCAGAGTGCCCGAGAACAGCACCGGGTCCTGCCGGGAAGGAGTGGACTCAGTACTGCGGAGGAGATGCCGGGTCCACGGGCTCGGTATGGCATTAGTTGAATAGCACGGCTTTACGAACTAGCATAAGCGGATAGGGGGTTAGATCGACTCCTAGGGACGAGACGAGAGACTCGACGAAAGAAAGGGGTCTCGTCTGATTATGACAAGTAATAGTGTTGACAAACAGAGCAGAGCAACAGGTAGACCAGTACCATCATTTATGTACAGTCTGTCTTAAAAGTACCGCGCAAAGTGGCGGTGGATCCATCAAGCCTGACCGAGAAAGGGCCTGTTTTAATTTAAAAGTCACCGACCAATTGACCTAGGGAATGGATAAGGATGTCAGTTGCTTCAGTGACCCAAATTTAGCAGGCCCTTGCTCAGTCAGGCTCGATGGATCCACCGTCACTTTGCGCGGTACTTTTAAGACAGACTGTACAACCCATAACGCCACTCTAATGGCCTGCTCACAGAAAACTATGTTTCCTCCAACCCAACCACATGCAGTCACCATATCCCTCCCCTGCCAGCCAGTCTGCAATATGCCCCCTCATTGACCTTCAACTCCCCCCCCCCCCCCCCGCCGCCGGGCCGACCGCCGCACCTGAGGTATGATGGTGATCTTGGACCGCAGGTCATGCAGGCCGATGTCGCTGATGCGGATACCGTCCAGGGTGATATCTCCGGCGGCCGCCTCGATGATACGGAACAGGGCCAGCGTCAGTGACGACTTGCCGGCGCCGGTGCGACCGACGATGCCGATCTTCTCGCCGCCGGAGATGTCGGCGTCGATGCCCTTGAGGACGAGCTCGAGTCCGGGCCGGTAGCGCGTCTGGTAGTTGTTGAACTGCACACGGCCCGACTGCGGCCACTCGGGCGGCGGACGGGGCCGGCTCTCGTCCACCCAGACGGCCTCCTGCGGCGTCTCAGAGTACTCCTTGATGCGCTCCACGGCCACGATGTCGGTCTCGACGTCGGACGTCATGCGCACGAACCAGTTGAACTCCTGGGTGACGACCATGGCGTAGCTGATGGACATGCCTACTAGACCGACCTCGATCGTGTCGCGCGCCAGCACGCCGAACACGGCGGCGAAGAAGATGATGATAGCCGTAACCATGTCCAGTCGCGAGGCCAGCCACCTGGAACGGCGAGGGACGTGTCAGATGGAGAGTCAAATCGTCTGCAATCGACTAGTTAGCTGCTACAATGTAGACAATTTAACTAACAGCCATCAGTGAAATAAAGCTAACTGAGCAGATTGCATTGAGCAATGTTGAATCTATAACTAGGCCTACAAGATGAAGAAAGTGAGGAAGGTTTACTACTAACGATGGACGAAAGTAATAGTGAAAGTCACTCCTTCCAGTAACTGTACGCAATATGTACAAAGCACGCTCGGGCGTTTGCTATCTTTGAAACTCGCCGATTAACGTTCGTGCATAACATAAGACCCCAGCAGTTGGTCAGCAGTTCGTCAGTTGCCACTGACGGAAAGTGGCAGGCGAGCATGGGGGCATCTCTCGTTACCTACCTGTTGGCTATCATGGACGGATAGTAGCAGGTCTGGTTGTCATCCACCAGCTCCTCAGACTTGAGCGTGAACTCGGGCACCTTGCCGAACGCCCGTATCGTGGCGGCGCCTACAACAGCCCAGATTAACCGGACGTTACACGGGAAGACAGCACTATATAGACCTGGACGGGACTGTGGCACGCTTGCTAGACAATGCCCCGAAACAATTATAACATATGCGACCAGGGTAATGAAAAAGCATTCGACAAAACGAGACGCTGCAAATGCCCACACATCAATGAAAGGTGAATCAGCCAAAAGCAGATCATTGTTGTATGATGCAAATTCATGACTAAAATAATAACAAACAAAAATCATTGGCGATCGGTTTAGAACCCCTTGACAGAAGTGTGTCGCCAACAATTATAGAGCAGCTGCATCTTCAGACGTCAGCTGCAGTTAGATCTCGGATCTCCCCGTTATCCCTCAGTCCGTGTGTGAGTCGGCTCAGCAGCCGGGCCACATCCACTCACCGCTGATGGTCTCACCAAAGTGAGAGTAGATCGGTGAGCGAGACACCGACTCCAGACGCTTTAGTTGCCGAGACGTCGACACGTAAACTACCTGAGGGAGACACGAGAGCACGGTACATCGTCACAGCCCCAGCACCAAGCAGGCTACTGCAGTGAGGATGCATTGGTCTTAGGGATGCCTGGACCGCAGTGGTCATCGGCGCCTGTTAAGGAGGGCTACGAGGCGAGCATCTACACCACAAAATGCAATGAAGGAGTTGATAAAAAGCGAGGTGACATTTCTTCACGCACTGTCGGGCCGTCCACCCCTCTCCCTCCCTCTCCACTCACCCTCGCCAGGTTATAGACGACCAACACCGGCGCCACCACCGCCAGAAAGATGGGCGTCGCGAAGCATATAGCGAACAGCGTGCCCAGGACGGTGCAGAAGCACACAATGCAGTCGGAGATCACCATAGGCAGCGCGTTGTCCAACGTATCCACATCGTCGCCGAACCGGTTTATGGTCCGGCCGAGCGGCGTCGTGTCGAAAAACGCCATCGACAGCCGCAGCACGTTGCTCAGGAGGTGAGAGTGCATCAGCCGCGCGGCGGACAGAAGGCCCGTGAAGAGGCAGAACGACGCCGAGACGGCGAACAGCGCTGCCAAACGAGCAGAAGGGTGTAAATGTTGAGCGGCGTGGACCACGAGGCATTTCCCGGCGTCAAGGCGCGCGGGGTAGACGCAGCTATTTCTGACGTCTCACGAGAATACTTCTTTTTGGCGATTCGGATAAGACATACAACACCAATTTAGCGTTACGGTTTTCTTGTGGTTGAGTAAATCAGTAAAATATCTATAAAAATATCATATCATCTATAAAAATATCCTCCAACCACCGGTTCACCCGCGGCCAGCCGCCCGCCCCGTCCACTGCATCTCACCCTGTCCGACGCCCAGTGCTCCGTACACGGACAGGTAGACGTTACGGCGGTCCGTGTCGTTAAAGGAAGTCTCGTCCTCGGTCCAGGTGGAAAGCCAGATGTTGGAGCTCACACTGCACGCCTGAGGGACAGCGAAACGATGCACTAAGAACAGTGCTACCAAGATGTGACTAACAACTTCACCTCAGCTAAGATCAGTCAGAAATAGACAGCAGGGAACGTTTTTAGAAATAGACAGCAGGGGAACGTTTTTATCACTTCTGAGGCCTCTGAGGCTTCTGAGGCCTCTGAGGCTTCTGAGGCCTCTTGCACCAAACTACCTGGCTAGGTAAAATCGAAAAACCGGTTTCAGAATAAGCTAATCTAGCGGTGGTAAATTTGTTTGCAATAGCCCAATACATAATCTTGTGCTTGCTAAATTTTGCACTCAAATTGTTACATTTGAGACTTGGACTGGGTATACGATGCAAAATAATCCAAGCATTGGTGCAAGAGGATTTTGGTGCAAGAGGCCTCAGAAGTGATAAAAACAAGGATATAAACATGAACGAGTGAGAGAAAAAGGGAAAGAATGAGACAACAATATCAAGAAACAACCGCGGTGAAACGTTGCAGCATTCGCATTGCCGTTGCTGACCCCATACCCCTATCTCCTCCGAAGCTACGCTAGACTGACCTCTGCGGCTATGTAGAGCAGGAAAGTGGCGAGCGTTAGCAGGACTCCCACCGCCCGCGCGTAGAAACCGTACACAGACAGCTTCACCTGCGGGACACATGGAGGTCAGGTGGACAACGTGGCTACTGCTTTCTATGGATACACCAATCCTGCTCTGTAGTGACCCAAGGCCAGCAACATATCGCGCTGGTCGCATTGTTTCAAACCAAGGTGGATAAGTCATCTGTTCCACGAATGTGGTTACCTGAACATGGCGGCGAGAGAGAATATAAGACACCCGTGAAAACTTATTCGTAAATAATCCCTGAACATTCCAGCTATGGCATGCCTCTGAAAATAATACATAATTTCGTACTCTACCAGACAGCTCTTGACCCCATTTTCCAGTAGCTCCATCCCTGCCGCCAATCTCCGAGCACCAGTCCTGCGCCTCTATCCTGCTTACCTTCCCGGTCTCGGTTTTCTCGGCCTCGATGAGCCGACCCCTGGCGTCTCGCTCCTCAGTCGTTACACCGACGGGCGGCGCCGGCGGCGGTCCGCCGTCCCCCTCTGGGTGGGGGTGTGGGTGAGCGCCGCCCCGGCGGCGGCGGGCGCTGCCGGCCCCCTCCACACTGGTCACAGACGCCGACCTGAGCGAACAGCACAGACAGGAGGGTTAGGGTGAGGGTCAGCGAAGCTGGTGGTCTGGAATGATATCCAGATAAAGGATATCAACTGGTGTAAAACCCCCAGGGAAGGAGCAGTAGAAATAATCACTAAGCATGGATGCAAGCGCCTATTCAGTGTCCGATGCAGTGCCAACCATAATCAAGCAATTAAGTAGCATTTCCTGTATCAATCATGCTATGAGTACTCTGGCGACTCTGAAATCATGCACTCATCTGTAGCCGTACACTGAAGAACCAGAACCATTCCCTCAGCGTGACACATCCGTCGCCATTGAACAGAACCGTCCGCGGGTCCTCACCTGGAGGCGGTGACCGGGCGGGGCGACCCCTCGCCCTGACTGGCGCGGCTCTCAGAGTCCTGCCGCACGCGCTCCATCTTCCTCTGCAGCTCGCGGCGGCCCAGCGTCTCCTCCAGCTGGTGTTTGATCTCGTCCAGCTCTGGGGCGGCGCAGAGCGAGTGTCAGACGGTCAGGGAGACGGAGGCATCACGAGCTAGCGCTACCGGCTCACAGACCCGGTGAGCGGCATCTTCAAATGAGCAAAGCACTCATGCGCGCCTGCGTAAGCCATCAGATGTACCAATTTTTAAGACGTATTCAGCATATGAACAGGCTTGGTAAGACGTATAGACACTTTAAAGACACTAATTCCTCCACACACGGGCATAGTCTTGACACCTGCGAATTGCGATCCCACCGGCACTGAATCTCTCCCCGAACCCTCTCACCGGCTCTGACCGGTCGGTAAGTTCCCCTACCCTCCTCCTCGTCCTCGGCACCGGCCTCTGTCAGGTACTGCAGCAGGAAGTCGGAGAAGGCGCCTCGGTTGTCCATCAGCTGCCGGTAGGGGCCCGTCTCCGACACACGGCCGTCCCGCAGCACCACGATCAGATCCGCGCGCGACAGGTGAGCGATCCCGTGCGTCACCAGAACACGAGTCTGCAAGGGGAGCACACGGCGACGATTGTTGAATAATAGAAGACAAAGGTAGCGATTGATGTGGGCTGGCTTGGACAGAGGTACGAATCCACAACTTGTTCATCGCAAAACGTGCTTTGGTGATACGATCATACGACATCCTCATTGTAACTGACAGCAAACAAAATTTTGATCTATGAAAGTCACCTAAAACAAAATTTGCATTAGAGCGTAACTTCAGCACCCTAATTCACAACGGCTCACCCTATCTTTGAGCATGCCTTCGGGTCCGATGACGTTCTCGAAGATGTGTTTTCCGACGTGTGAGTCGACGGCCGAGAGTGGATCGTCCAGAAGGTAGACGTCTCTGTCACTGTAGACGGCACGCGCCAGCGCCACGCGCTGCTTCTGACCACCAGATAGGTTGATACCCTGAGGGTAGTTGAACGGTAGGATAGCGTCAGATCACTGGGACGATGGATGGAGGTGTAAGGAGACAAGAAGGTGAACTATGATCATTGTCCGACCGAGGATCTATGATCATTCACTGGGCGTTTGGTCCCATCCGCGCCCCGGTCCCAGAAACTCATCTAACACAACGTTAGTAACCGTTTGTGACACAGGTATGACGGTGGCCGCACCTTCTCGCCAATCTCTGTATCATCGCCGGCCGGCAGCATGTCAAAGTCGCTCCGCAGCGCGCAGGCGTCCACACAGCGGTTATACAGGTCCTCGTCCAGCGTCCGGCCGAACAGAATGTTATCCTTGAGCGTGGCGTTCTGAATCCACGCCTCCTGCGCCACGTACGCCACACTGCCCTGCGGTGTGCGTCAGGGTGGGACAATTAGTGCGGCACATACGTCACAGCGCCTCATTAAGTCTCATGAGGGTTACCTTTATCATACTCATCCATTTCTGTTGGTTGTTTGTTTCATTTGTTTCAAAGACATGGCCTAAATATTGACTATCAAATTATGAGTTAAGCAATGTGAAATGTCGCAGAGTTACAGAAAACAAAGGCATCGCAATTCGCAAAGCAGGTAGCCAAAATATAGCTCCCATTCGGAAGTAGGAACCGCTAATGAGCATGGCTGAAGAGCAAACCGCAGCCACGGGGATGAAACACTAGCATCATTCACACTCACACGATTGTCAAACGTACATACGTCAAGGCCTCAGCCTGACTGACCTTGACATTGACCCGTCCGGTGAGTTTCTCCATCTCGCCCAGGAGGGCGCTGAGCAGTGACGACTTTCCGGCGCCGACCATACCCACCACTGCCGCCAGGCTGCCGCGGCTCACGCGCAGTGTCACGTCCTGGAGGGTGGGCGGCGCTGTGGCCTCCCAGGCGAACGAGCCGCCCTCCACCACCACCGGGTCACCTGGGAGGGCAGGAGGGGTCACAGGGGTCACAGGGGTCACAGGGGTTACAGGGGTCAAGGGTCAGAGGGGTCAGGGTATCAGCAGGGTCAGGAGGAGAAGCGAAGAATTTCAAAAGTTTCCTGAGAGATAGAGGCATTTCATTAAAGGTTCGTACCAACGAACTCATTCGTAGCTGAACACACATATTTTAGTCTACATACATATATGCCCAAAATCCAAAGCATGGCAACGGTAAAGACATCCATCTGCATATGACCATTTACCAAAACCAACGCCACCCCAACAGCAGAGACGCATGACACGCGTACAACCATTCCCGTTAACAAGCACATACAAAAGCAAACATACACACAGCACCCCTTTCCGGGTAGTCTTACGTACTCTCTGCGTCGTCGTGGGACACAGCGTGTTCGTCCAGATCCTCGCTGTTGAGGTACTTGTTCATCCGCTTCAGGGACACCCTGGCCTGGTGGAGAACAGTGGGGAAAAAGATACGTAAGAGGAAATCAGGAATCGGTAATATATGGGGGGGGGGAAGAGACAACGGCCACATAAGGGGAGACGACTTGAGCGAATAAAGGACCGTGCGCATCTCGCGACTAAATTCCATCATTATCTCAATCCCGCTTTACCGGAAGTGTGGGTTCCTAAACAGTTGTAACTGCACATGCTATACGATAGAAAACGTGTACGATATTTATTATCACAGGCCATGAAAATTACCTACTCAAGGTACATTCAAAAGACGCCGAAGGACGCTAAATGTCAGGGCTTACTATTTCGATGGCTCCATCCTTACCTGTACTGTTGAGGCGGTAATGAACGGCAGCATGGCCAGGGGGAAGCGGAGAGCGGAGAAGAGCGCCAGAGAGACGAACGCGCGCCGACTGTCCAGCACGCCGTCCGTCTCCGTCAGCACGTAGGTGGCAAACGAGCCCAGACAGACCTGTGAGAGCGGCCAGCGGGAGGGTAGATTAGGCAGCCCTCTGGTAGGCCGCGTAGGGCACACGGAGATACAACGCACATCTTTGTTTGTTTTGTTTATTTGGGTTAGGCCCTTTCGGTCTGACAGGACCATTTCAGAGCCAGAAGAATGATAGGAATTAGGGGGAGATAGTGGTCTGGGCAGACACCCTAGAGAGTCGCCGGGGCTGAGCCCGTCCGAATGGACAGGCCGACCAGCCCCCCAAGCACTCTCTGCACCCGGCTACGGGGTGTGCTCCCTCAGGAGCAGCGGTGCCGCCCCAAGTGAGCAGCCCGCGTGAGATAAAGTTGCCTGTCCAGCCCGGAGGGGGGGGGGGGGTTGCGGCGTGAAGGAGAAGGATTTCAGTATCCTAAGGATGGAAACGACGGAAAGGAGAGCGCATCTTTGAGGGTACAACTGCTTATATACGAATACAGCGTCCGGTTACAAATACCAGTGAGTCAGATCCCAAGATAAGATCGGTGTTCGGAGGAGCTTACCATGAACGGAGCGCACGACCAGATGAACTGATTGAACGCGTTCAGGTAGGCCGTCTTCCTCAGCACGCGGATCTCCTGGTCGCGTATGTCCAGCACGTGCTGCTCGAAGGAGGGCTCCCACGCGTACAGCTTCAGCACCTGGTGGAGTGGGGAGGAAGGACCATTGGTGATACACGTGAAATGGGGCGCGAACCTATTGCAGTTCGCACCGCACTGCATCCCAACGCCTCCCGATATGAACTCGGACTGGATGCCAGTGATCAAATAATGAGATGCACGCCCAAAATATATGCGTATATTTAGTTCAAAAAAGGATAAGGAACTGCAGGTGCATATCTGAATGTATATTATAACAAATATTTGTAGATGCATGCGTATCTGAATGTGTGCTTATGGTAAATAGTAAATACCGTGTTCACCTCGAACCAAGACGTAAGCTCACGTCTACACACCTTGATGCCGCCGAGTATTTCGTTCATCATCTTGACCCTCATGTCCTTGTACTTCATCTGCTTCAGCTGCAGCTTCTCGTAGAGCCGCGACGTGTATAGCTGGAGGGGCATCAGCACGACCATGATGGCGATTCCCACGAACACACTGGCGCCTGCAGGGGGAGGGAGGTTCGGTCAGACTGCAAACTGACTAGATGACAAAACAAATGATTCCAAATCACTAGCCATGATCAAAGCTGGAATGAAGCACGACATTCGAAGCGGAATATTATGTGTTCAACTGTGTCGTATTATTCCGGATCGGACCCCTCACCCAGCTCCTGGTAGAGGAAGTACACGGCCAGTCCAATTTGGTAGGGCGCCGACCAGATCATGCACACGTAGCCGACCAGGTCCATGAACCGCTGCGCGTCCACTGACATCAGATTGACTATCTCACCGACGGTGGACTCGCGGCGCGCCGAGTTGCTGATGGTGAGCGCCTGGTGACGGGGGGGGGGGGGAGGGGGGTCACACGTGGACCAGCACCTAGGTCCGTGCCTCAGTCCCAACTGCACTTCATTACTGTCAATCTTCAATGATAGAGTTAAAACATGACTTTCGAAAGCTGCTCATTGCTTAAGCCACTCTTTTTTCATTTACCAAGCTGCTGAAGCCTCCTGGCTCAGTCCGTCATGAAGCCGAACCAGTCCGCTACCGAGCTTCCACACTGACTGTATGGTATTGGTCGGGCCCGACCCAGGCCAGTGCTCAGCACGCTGCCCGTCCTCTAGCCCAAATCAGTTGACTAACTTCTACTCCCACCCCACAGTCCAATATCCCGCCACCTTACCCCTCCCCCTCCAACCATGCCTGCTGACCTTCGTGTATACGGCTGACATCAGCGCAGTGCGCACGTGCATGCCGAGCGTCATCATCAGCAAGAAGTACTGGCCCAGCACTAGGGACATCAGCACGCTGACCAGTACCATCAGCACGGCATAAAAGTAGCCGTGCCACGCCGGCTCCGAAGAGTCCGACACGAAACCGATGATAGCACTGCGGGGATGATAAAAGCCGATTATCGTACTGTAGGGTAATAAATATAATCATCACACTGCTTTAGGGCAAATTATTTGACTATCACACACAAAACTGATATAACGTCTTAAATCCAATATATCTTACTATCATATATATTGTGTAGGTACTTGCGAAACTGATAACCTCACTGCGGCGGAAGAACTAGAGAGGCGATTTACGACGTTGCTCGACGGATCCATAATCCCAATGAGCTTAAAAATCGGCTCAGTGTCAGCCCTGCGTGAGTTGGCATTCATGCACCATCACGCTTTAATCCTGAATTATACATCAACTGTAGATTTCACTCACCAGCCTATACATTTCTTACGAACAAATATTTTGTGACGGTGGAAACACCACAAAACCATAACTTTTCCGTCCGACTTGCCTGAGTATCTGAGGATTGAGGAACTGCAGAGTATCGAAGACAAACTTGAGAAGGACTCCGATGAGGAAGCGCGGGCCGAATGTCCTCACTAAGGCGGGGAGGACCGAAGCTGGAGCTCGTGTCCTCCGAGGGCCGTTTCCTCCACTGAGGGGGATACCGTTTGGCACTGCCTTCTGTCCGTCAGGTGCCGAGTGGCTGAGGGAGGGGCACAACAGCGTCAGACAACGAGAGCAGGGAAATTCGGTCACGAATAACCGTGATAGAGAGGCGACTAACGATAGAGTGAGCTCGGAGGAAATGTGCAAAGAAAATAACATGCATGGAGACTGGAAACGGCGAAAAAGGAATGAAAACAGAAAAGAAAGAAAGAAAGAGAGAGAGAGAGAGAGAGAGAGAGAGAGAGAGAGAGAGGGGGAGAGAGAGAGAGAGAGAGAGAGAGAGAGAGAGAGAGAGAGAGAGAGAGAGAGAGAGAGAGAGAGAGAGAGAGAGAGAGAGAGAGAGAGAGAGAGAGAGAGAGAGAGAGAGAGAAAGTCGGTGCCATCCTGATTCAACTACCCGTCCAAATCGAGGCACCCACATGACAACACCCTAGCCGCCCCCCCCCCCCCCACAGTCCTCCCTCCATCGTTCGTCCTCACTTCTGCGTGCTGTGCAGCAGGCCGTGCCAATGTCTGTTAAACTCGGCCACCACGGTGGAACACATGTGACTGGTGTCGAGCCGCCAGAGGTCCTCCCGGCGCAGCGAGCGTCGCCAGCCGAGCAGGGCCATCGGCTCGAACCAGGCGAACGTCAGCTGGCTGAGGAACGACGCCGAGCCCTCCGGACACGGCTTCTGTGGGACGGGAGCAAAATAGTGTGAGATACGGAGCACAGCGGGGGCGGGGATGCTGAAAGAATAGCGACTCGATACAATAATGAGCAGCTCTGTAATTATCCTAGCGCTAGAAGCGAAAGGTCTATTTCACTATTAGCTTACTTTTTTAAAACAATTTTCACCCCAATGACTGACTGATTTGAGCGTGGTGTGTCTTCCACGACACAATATAAGGATTTACCGCCCTGAAGTCGCTCTGAAGCGGAGTACTCACCTCCTCCCCGGTCTTCTCTCCGCGCTGTTGGGTCGGCGTGTCGGCAAAGCAACTGAGCAGCCACTCGCCGAACAGAACCGGAAAGTAGACCATGTAGAGGACGAACGGCCCGACCGGCTGTTCGGGGCCCGTCTGAGCGCAGGGAGTGGGGACAGGCCGTTTTCATTCCAATCCAATGTGTTTATTTGATGACCGCAACAAAATAAAATGACCGATTATGGTGACACAGCATATATCGAACCGAGACCATACCTGCCCAATGGCTGCCCTGAGCCGTGTTCGGAACTCGGGCACGGCACACAGCAGCAGCACGGTCCAGAACGTCCATAGAACGCCGGAGGTGCGCACGCCGCGCCGCCGGCCGAGCACGGTTAGCAGCAGAGCGAGCACCTGAGGACGGCGCACGCGGCGGGGTCAGAGGGCTGCGTCCACGGGTCGGGACACAGACACAGTAAACAGCCGAGACACAGACACAGTAAACAGCCGAGACACAGACACAGTATATAGCCGAGACACAGTAAACAGCCGAGCCACAGACACAGTAAACAGCCGAGACACAGTAAACAGCCGAGCCACAGACACAGTAAACAGCCGAGACACAGACACAGTAAACAGCCGGGACACACACACAGTATACAGCCGAGACACAGACACAGTAAACAGCCGAGACACAGACACAGTAAACAGCAGCAGAAGACAGCAAACAGCCGAGACACAGACAGCTATACACGATAAACAGCACTCCCAGATAAACTAACTGGATGCTTACGGTGACGCCTGATGCGGTGAGACTGAGTCTAAGTTACGTAGCTAAGTTGATACCACCTAGACAAAACATCTAGGTTTATCATGTCCCGCGGCGCCTCGTCACCTAATTGACCTTCCGTCTGCTAAAATGAGTTTATGCCTGACCACGCACTGATTCATACAAACGAACACACAGCCTCTACGAGGGCCCCATCACCAAAACAGCGGGCGTGACCACAATGTTATTAGCACGATTCGGTCTGACACGAAAACAACGGTGTCGAGCCCGCCCTGTGACACGCAATGCGCGCTCACTGCACCGCGAAGAACGGCATATCTTAGCACGTGTGCCGTCCGTCATACCACTGAGACGTCTGCTAGTGTAGACCCTTACGTCGCCAAGAAAATACAGTGAATCAGCAAGGCGTCATATAAATTTAGCACCAAAACATCAAAAAATCAGAATGTTGGCATCAATATCGCTCAACAAGCTGGTCTATCATTGTAGCTGTGCTCGACCTGTTATAACACACTTCAAGAAAAAACACTTACCTACGCAACAACAAGAACGCTAGCTTGACACCGTCTTGATTGTTTACATGATACAAAACACCCACATAGATAGCCAGCAGACGCTTACCAACAATTATAAAACATGACCGAAAACATATCAACGACCAATGAATTGGCCAGGGCACCATTACCGTCTCAGCTCCGATAGCCATACATTTGCCCTGCACGGCGGACGAACAGGTAGACGTTTCACAGCCGACTTACTATGGTAGCGAATAGGATGATTGGTGTGAAAACGTCCACCGCACGCACGCTGTAACCGGCGTGGTAGCGTTGTGCGGAGACAGCCAAACTGGCTAGCTGCACGATCAGTAGAACGGCGGCCAAGACCTGCATGGAACGGGTCAGACAACGGTCAAAAAAGATCACAAGGGTCACGCAAAAAAAAACACCAGCAGGCAGAAGTTCATAACTACATGCATAACTACTACACCCTTCCGAAACCAGAAGAGATCCAGGATTCACACATTGTGCTGTACTCACACATTTGCTGACGTTGAGTATGGTCCGTGGGAGCGGGTTTTCTGTGCTCCTCTTCAGCAGGAAGATCTCCACAGGCGCGAGCAGCCAGAGCAGGGCACAGGGCGCCCAGACCAGCGCCGTGCGCTCGAAACACGCCGTGAAGTCGGGGTCGTCCGTCCGCCACACCGAGCCCGCGTTCTGACAGCGACAGAGGTGGATCACTGGCGTAGCGCACGGGCAAAGTATGCGTGTAGGCAGAACACCACTCTGTAATACCCTACCGAGAGCGTATGTTGCAGAAAAGTAACAACAATAATACGATCAAATCTGGCCTAACCTAAGACCAATGATATACGAATCAGCGACGAATTGGTCGGAAGATTCCTTGTGTTTTTAGCATCGGTAGTTTTATGAATCGATGAAATTATTGAAATTTGAAAATAAACTTATCTTTAGTTTACTTACCCAGAATTCAGAGTGACAGTATCCTTCGAAACCTGACATCTTCTAAATATGTAGGAATATGCTGATGGTGAGAGGCAAGACGCTGCTCCCAATGAACTCGCTCTGAAAAAAACAGCGCTTACATCAAAAGTAAATCTATACACAAGATATAGGTATCACAACAACGTCTAATAATCAGTAACAAATCACCAGCACCTACCAGCGGAGCCGACAGCTTTATACTGGCAGGCCGAGCGGCTACGAGAGCCGACCGCAGTGCAGCACCGGCGCCACTCGGGGTTCCGTATAGACTGATCTCCCGCCGGCCGGCCGACTGGCAGATGCGGGCAGATGCAGGCCGGCAGATGCGGTCAGCGACAGCGCCGCGGATCGCAAGTCACGCCCCGCATGGCGCACGTCAGGCTTCTTGGAACCGGTGCCTGCGGGCCAGGCGGCACACAATGCTCTTCTCACGAACTGGGGGAGGCGTGTCCGGGCATGTTGCATGTGCATTGTGCAATGTGCAGATTACGGGGATGGCAATGGGTCCACGATGCGGTCGTCGAGAAATCAGTCGCGACACATTAAAGTTTGACTATTGATGACTTCCGGGCTGTAAGAAAGAAGCGACACTTCGGCGAATTATTTTATTCGACATTTTTATTTTTATTTTATTTTTTATTAGACATTATAGCAAGTTTTCGGACGAAGTTTTCAGCTTCTCGTTACACTTCTTAGCCCTCGCACTTATAGTGGGTCCTCGCCAGATGGACCCTCGTCGGTTTTTTGCGAATAACTCGCGAAAAAGCGACCGCGGGCCGATCATGACAAAACTTTCAGCCCCTCGAGTCAATCAATTTCACACGGCCTGAACACCTCATGACCTTGAACCAGACGACCTTTGACCTGTGACCTGTTTCTTGAGACCATGTCAGACAGTTATTGGACAGGACAGGAATTGTGACAAGGCGATTGTCGGCATACAGTATCTGTGCGTTTCCAGAGTTTTTTATGACTTAAAAGTGTAGTTTTTTTTTAGCCAGTTTCGAATTTAGCACTTATCTGAACATTTGAGGAAAGGTTTTGGTGCCTATACAAATGGTACGAAACTGTCAGTGGTACTGGTAGTATATATCTACTAGTACTATGGATAGCCGGCGCAACGCCCACTGGTTGACTGGTCACCACAAATGCGTGAATACATCATCTTTGATCAACACTTATATGCAATTCGGAATTAGGACCGGAACTCCCATAACAACCTCACTTTTGGAAGTCGTAGCAAGTCCCAATTTCCCCGAATATTGGCGGGCCATTGACATGCCCTGGAAGGTCAACCAGTGACCGACTATATCAAAATTCGGTAGCATCGGCTTAACTATTCTGGTCACGGGCAGCAAACTCGTTTTTCCCCGATGCTCTAGCGTGATAAGGGACCGAATGGCTGGGGGATGGGCTCCAACGAATACCATCCCAACGTATCAGTCGTGTCAGTCGCTCCAACGTAGCGACTGACAAAACGCCAATACAGGCAAAGGTTAACTTTTGACATCACCGGGAGACATATATCTTCCCGGGGAATGGTTCCCGCGTCCGACGAACTTGGCTCGGACCCTGGTCCGAGCGAATGTTAAAACGTCAGTACGTCAGTTCTGTCATTTGCAAAGAACCGCGTTTCAATAGTTGACATCCCTAACCGATCGTGGGAAGGAAACCGTGTCATTTTACGCTCGTCACTTGTTCAGGGCACAATACTGGGTGTGCGGAAACTCTTCGCGATTTCCTGCAATGCTGACCAGCGCGCTGCGACTACGTCTCCCGATGGCCTCAGAAGACCCTCATTGCCCGGTCAGTCAAAAAGCACGCACACGAATATGACCTTGGAATTGAGTCTGATCATGAATCATAAGTCTTGTCATCACCATCCTGTGCAAGGCATCCAAATCGTAGCTTACAGATTGATGAAATGTAGATAGTGAACAGCTCAGCCTGGCAAAGAGTTCAGGGGATGAAGGAAGCGCCTGAAAAATACATGAGTGTTGTAGGGCATGAAAAGCAAAAACACCCCATTACCTTACCCAAAACCAGCTAACTGAAGAAAAAACAACAACAGGCAATGGACTCCTGGACACAAATGTCACACTGTGGATCAGAGCCACCTCCATGCAAACAAAGTTACAGGGTGTCCGGAAAGTCCTGGCGCTTCTTTTGGACGCCGTGTAACGCGCGCTGTGATTATTGGACATTCAGCCAATCATCACAGACATGACCCCTCGTTGATTGCTCAGCCAGAGGTCGTGTAAATATGACCTTGAAATCGTTTTCAGTGATGGGTAGATGGGCGAAGATGCGCCTTGTCGCTGAATGCCTGCGCGCGGCGACCGGGTGCGACTTGAACGAGGCTCGAGCTGCAGCGCGATGCGGCGTTTTTCGATGAATGGTTTAGCTGGTAAAGGTTTATTTCGACTCGGGAATTCCTTAGAAAATATCCTCAGACCGTTTCGAACGCGATATGGGAACGGAGCAGCATTTCAGCGCGGCAATCGAAGAAAGTGCGGGGGTCTGATGGACAAAAATGTCCCATCATCTTCGTCAATGTCGAATAAATGAATGACAGGCTGGCCCACGAGGGGTTCCTGGACAGCCACATCAACCCGAGGGTCAAGACGACATGCCCGAAGGGTCACTTCGCATTTCAACAGCACAGAGCACCCTCCAACAACGCCGCTGCCATTCAAGCTAAACTGACAGAGGAGCTTGCCGGGCCAGATCACCGTGGCGAAATGAGATCAGGCCGCCTTATTCTCCTAACCTGACCCGCTCGACTAAGGCGTGCTACGCGTTTTGTAGAACAGGATCTAGGCCATTTCTCACCCCAACCTGGAGTCGCTGAAGACTCGCATCATGACAGCATGGGAGGACCTGGAAATGCCCCGCATCGTCAAAACCCGCAGACGCTTCCTCCCCTACGTCGAGGCCGTCGTCGGCGCCGACGATGGTTACATTGAATGAGCACGTAGCGGAAGCATGTGGCTTGGTGTCCCTGGTCATTGTTTTGATCCATTGATTAGTATCTATGAACCAATGGCATTTGTTTTAGAAAATGTTGAAAAGCGCCAGAACTATCCGGACACCCTGTATAAGGGCATTTGGTGGCCAGGCTGCTCCCTTCTGTTCAAAGAAGCTGTGACTGTAATCACTGTTTAGTCTCTTGACTCATCCCATTAAATTATAGCATGCGAACAGCTCTGTAGATCTTATGCTGTCTTCCATTCTAATCCCAACCCATAGTAGCTAAGGTCTTGCATTTCTGTGTTGAGGGAGGTGAGTGAGAGGGGTATCTATGATCCAACATCAGCAGGGCAAAGTGTCTGCTCTAACAATGAGGCTGAATATCATGCTGTATTTACTTACAAGCATATTTAAAGGTTTAAGGATATAAAAAATCAATTTTCATTGCACCTGGATCTTCAGACAACTAATTTGATCTCATTGGCTATCAGACCATGCCACCAGAGCCCAATTTTATCAACAGAAAAATCACTGGTTGCCAATAAGCTGCCAAAAGCTGCACCAGAATTTTCCTGCAGTCACATAAAACACTGATAATGTGAAAAATAATATTAGCCAAATATACTTTCACAGCAGTCATTTTTTTCTCCCATGGTAGGATTAAATTGCAAGAGAAAAGATCTAGTGAGGCAGTACATTTTTGCATCTTCCTCAGACCTCAAGAAAATGATTGTTTCATTTCAATTTTGGGCTAAAATGAAACAGAATTGCAAGAGATTCTCATGTGGGTTCAAAAATACTGGGAGTTAGCAAAAATTTTAGGTAGTCATAAAGCAGGTGTCACACTTTTTTGCAACCAAGGAGAGGCCCTATACCTGGAAATGCATGTTGTATGTTGTAGGTTATAGATTGCAATTTGCATGTTACGTTAGCTTAGGTTTGGTTGGGGCAGGTTAGGTAAGGTTAGACTGTAATCACTTTGTTTTGGTTTGGCTAAAAAGAAGCATCTCTTGGTAAAGTGCCTTTCCTTGCTTGCCAAAACAAGTGTGACGTGACACCTGCTTTATGACTACCAAATTTTGTTGGTGGCTGGCTTTCAGCGCTACCTTTCAATTTCATAAAATTGTTTCACAAGCCTTTGCAATTTACACTGCGTCAAAATGCCAGCATTTTTAACACAGTTGGAGTTATAAATGGTAGGTGTGTAAGCTAAATGCTGGCAGCCCCTTCTCTCCCATTTTACAGTGAGTTTGGAATGCTGAGATGCAATTGCAAACAACCGCATTTTAACAAAAATATTGGATACAATAGAAACTTAGAAGCCTTTAATTTGTTTTTAGGGCCTTGAGTCTTGATAAAAACTCAGCGGCGTTGCGCTTTATATCAATATGGCAGATCAAATTCAGCGCAAATTGAAATTCAGCAGGAACCGGCAACTTGATTTACCACCCCCACCCCCCCACATGTTACGACGCGCCAGACACAACAGCGAAACACTAGACCTGTCAGAAGTAAAAAGGCCCATTGGACTTGAGTTCCAGAGTTTTGATTTCACTACCATTTAATTTTCATTTACGTGTACTTACTAATTTTTCGTTTAATTATAACACACTTCTACTTGATCCATTCACATTTGTGCTAGCTGCTGCGTCACTGCCCGTCTTATGTGCGTCAATTACATTCCTCGCTTGGCTTCCATATTTGCTTCCAAATTGTCATTTTTTCCTCTACCGGTCGCTTCGAAATGCATGGCAGTGCATTGCCCTTTGATTTTGCATTGATTGATGATTCCATTCGTCATAGGCGGCGGAACGAGGGGGGGGGGGACACCGGGGCACCATGCCCCCCTTTGATTTTGGCATTTTAGCATTAGCCCTATGGGCGTTGCATAGAAAGAATGGTCAATGGGACCAAAAGTCGGCAGTGCCGCCCGTGTTCCGCCGCTACTGCCATTCGTAGAGTAAATAAGACGTTAAAGGCAGCACCAAAGTGTTGATTGCGGTCGAATGCCAACATAATGCCGATAGCCGACTCAAGTGGATTTAGCAACAACCACTCCATCACCTGGAGACGACTCGGCACACAGACATTCGCGACATGCGTGGGGCGCTGGCCAGAGTTACGAGCGACTAGCGAGAGCGACCTACCCGACCGGCGACCAGCCTGGCAAGCTCCTCCTGGCTCATCTGCTGCGACTCTCAAGTAGCCATCGAGACGCTCCAGGACATGGTGAACTCCCAGTCAGCACTGGTCACGGAGATCAGAGCTGAGAGCTCACTGAGGGACACCATCACCCGTTCATGCCGCAGGCTCCACCTCACTCCTCCAGTGGGTGTCAGGGCACGCTGGCAAGCCTGCCGGAAAACGAGGAGGCAGACCGCCTGGCGGCGATCGGAAGCCGGCAGCAGCAGGAATCAGGATCAGGTCCCCACTCCCAGCAGGCGGCGAGAGCGGCTGTCTGGCCAAACGCGGGCGATGTGCGCCACGCGTACCCGGCGGAGCCACTCGCACCCTGCAACTCGGCCAAACACCTACTGCGTGGACTGCCCTGCCCCCTGCCTATCAGGGCCTCGGACCTCACCCGACACCCACAACCTTGGACTGTGGGGTCCCCAGCTGACACTGGGGAGATCCTTCCTCCGACGTCGGACTCACATGAGACGTCCTGATGGAGACGGGCCGCGGGTTAGCAGCCAGGCTAACAGGTCCCGATTTCCCCGACTTTTTGGTCATTGACCTGACCTGGAAGGTCAACCAATGACCTAGCACCATAAAATCGGGTAGCATCAGTTTCCTCTCGTCACGGGCAGCACGCTCGTTTTTTTTCGGGAAGCTCATAGCTCAATCAGGGGCGAAACGGCAAAGGGGAGGTCCAACGACCCCCCCCCCCCCCCATGCGCTCGCGGCTGGCAACACAAATACGGACGAGGGTTAACATGTGGTGACCTCCGGTGACCTCGGCAGTGAAATAACACCAACCCTTACTTTTTTCCCATTGTAGTTGTCCCGTCGCTCAGTAATGAGCAATTCAGCGTCCTAGAACGACACCTATAGGACACCTATAGGGTAAGGTGCCTAATTAGCGACCCCTAGTTAATTTGAACCGTCATTGCTCACGCTCTATGGGTGCCACTGCATTACTGGCCTCATGTTCGGAGAGATCGTTCATTTTTATATTAAAATATAGTCATTTTCTGCCCCAATATCCACTAATTTATTTGTAGTGAGCATTTTGGCAAACCATTGCAAAAAAAAGGCTAATGGGGAACTCTTCCCGATTAGCGACCGGGGAGGGTCGCTAATAAGTCTATGGGTTTTCCCATATTAAAAATGGCAAAAAATGCGACGCCTGACAAGATGAGTTATGATCCCAAAAAGGTAACCTATACGCAAAGCACTCAATCACTCGGACAGGAACGTTTATCCAACACGTTTACGTAAGCAAAAACTGACCACGTGATGCACCGAAGGCGAAAAAAAAAGAAGGCGAAAATCCAAATTTTGCGGGCCATCCCGTATGCTATTCGAGATCCGCACTGGATTCGGCACCACTGCAGTCGGTGACGACATTTGGCATCCCCTGCCACACATTGCAAGCTTCAGCAACACTTCATTTTCATTTCTCTCTTTTCCCGCTTCTTTCCCTTCTTGAGCTATTTGCGATCATGTCGGGCGCAAATCGGAAATATAAGTCGCGACACATTCTTAACCGCCATGCAGTGCACAGTTAAGCGATTCACTATGGGAAAACGGCAATCAATTGAAAAAGGATTGTTGATTCAGAATAAAAAAAGGTGCGTCATCCTAACGTGCATCGCTTTACAACAGAGAGGGCCCAAATACACACGTTTTGGATAAGATACTTGTCATTTTTATTTAAACTCACCTGAAACGTCCCACCAGAAACACCGACAACCGGAACAGAATTTAATTTGATAACCAAAGTATGGCTGACCTTTTGACAATGTTTTTACCCCGTTTTCTCCTGTCATTTTTTCTGTAGTGAGGTAGGTTGCAAATAGGAAAGGGTCGCTAATTAGGCACCTTACCCTACCTAAGCGACGGCGGCGGAGAAACAACCGGCCAAACAGCGTTGTGAAGCTACATTACCGGCCACACGGGCGTAGGAACGTCATGAAAAGTGGGTGGGCCACCCTGTCAAGGGGCCTCCTTTCCCAGGGGGCCTCCTATTTTCAGGGGCCTCCAACTTTTGCCTCGTCCTGCTGGCTGCTTTCAAGTATGACCTCCAAATCTAGCTTCTGAGATCGGGCAAATGTACCCAGGGGCGTAACCGCTTAAGCGAACAGTGCGGAAAGTCCGCACCATTTTTAAAGCTTATTCCCCCTCCGATTTTTTTTTATAGAATCTATTTGCCGCAAACGGCAAATGACCCCTGAAAACCCTTACACAAATGTCTTCCTCGTTTCCCAGGTGCCCCCATTAGCTTCATATGCGCCCTCTTTGGCATATAAGCGCCCTATGTATAGTCATCAGAGACATCCCTATATGTCCCACAGCCGCCCCGTTGTCGCATACAATGTGCGCTTATCATAGGCGTCTCTCTTTTATGGGCACTTGAAGGCGCCTCTCTTTGCCATGCCGGCGCCCCTGTTTCTTATGAATGCACCCCCATGGCATTGATCAATTGATTTGCAGACCTCTATTGCATGTGGACGCCCATATATGTAGGCCTCAGAGGCGCCCCTCTTTCGCATTGAGGCGCCCCTATGGGCTTCATAGGCGCCCCTCTATTGCACGTAGGTGCCCTACTGTCTCAGAACCGCTCCCCTTTGGCATTCAGACGCCCATCTTTCGTACGGAGGAGCCGCTGTGGTTCTTAGAGACGACATGGTACTCCCAGACGCAGCTGGGGGGCTCTCGGAGTCGACTGTGTGGGACCTTCAGTCGCTGATGGGTGCCCGCCAGATGTGGACCCTCGGAGACACCGGTATGGGGCCCTCAGAGATGCCGGTATGTGGCCCTTAGAGACACCGGTGTGGAACCCTCAGATACTTCAGTGTGAAGCCCTTACAATTGCTGGTGTGGAGCTATGAATGCGCTGGCTTAAATCCCTCAGAGGCCGGTGCCCGGTACATGGACATTAGAGCTCAGTGAGAGCTTGTGTGGTGCCTTCAGTGGCCTTGTGGAGCCGTTAGATAGACATCAACATGGTGCTCTCAGGAGCCGGTGAGTCCTCAGAGTCATCGGTGTGGGGCCTTCAGAGCTCCGAGATACTGGTGTGGGGCCCTCGGAGATGTCGGTGTGGGTCCTTCAGATGTACCTATAGAGCCTTGAGATGCACAGGTGTGGTGGCCCACAGAGGCGCCGGTGTGGGGCTCCCAGAGCCACCGATATAGGGCCCTGAGAGACACTAGTATGACCCTCAAAGGCGCCGCTGTGTGGCGCTCATAAACACTGGTGTGGAGCCATCACAGGCGGGTGGAGCCGTTAGAGGCCGGAAAGGGCCCTTAAATGCCTACAAGGAGCCTTCAGAAGCCGGTGTGGCACCCTTATGGGGATAAGCGTGTCTACTTAGGAGCCCTTGAGGTGCTCTCATGAGCTCTGTGGGGCCCTACCGAGCCGAAATATGACCACGGCCAGTTGCCGCCGCATGGGTCTTCGGACCATCATTCTCACTATCACATCATCATTCACACTCTCATCTGCCTAGTTTGAATAGAAGGGCCTCTCAGACCATCAGTCTCATGGGCCTCCTCTGGCTAGTATAAATAGAAGGGTCTGTTAGACCATCAATCCTAGGGGCCTCCTCTGGTTAGTATAAATAGAAGAGCCTCTCAGACCATTAATCTTAGGGGGCTCCTGTGGACAGTATAAATAAAAGGGCCTCTCAGACCATCAGTCTCGGGGGCCTCCCTAGAAAAGTGTAAATGTGGATAGAGGGCCCCTCAGATTCATTAGGAGTGGACCTCTCTGACTATCAGTCTCAGGGGCCTCTTGTGGCCAGTATGAATATAAGAGCCTCTCAGACCATCGGTCTCAGGGGCCTCTTCTGACTATGTGTGGATAGAGGGCCCTCCCAGACCACCGGTTTCAGGGGCCTCCAGTGGCCAGTTATATGAACAGAAGGGCCTCACAGCCATTAGCCTCGGGGGCCTCTTCTGACTGGTGTGAATATGAGGGCCTCTCATACCATCAGTCTCAGGGGCCTCCTCTGCCTAGTGTGAATATAAGGGCTTCCCAGGCCATCAGTCTCAGGGGACTCTTGTGACTGGTGCCGGATTGAGGGACCTCCCAGACCGAAAGTTTTGGGAGTCTCCTGTGGCCAGTATGAATATAGAAGGGCCTCTCAGTCCATCAGTCTCATGGGCCTCTTCTGCCTGGTGTGATTATAAGGGCCTCTCAGGTCATCAGTCTCAGGGGCCTCCTCTGACTACAGTGTAGATGGATAGGCCTCCCAGACCATCAGTCTCAGGGGCCTCTTCTGACTATTGATAATAGAGGGGCCTCCTCTGACTAGTAAGGGTAGGAGGCCTCGGCTAGACCACCAGTGTCAGGGGCCTATTCTGACTAGTGTGGATGGAGGGGCCTCCCAGACCACCAGTCTCAGACCTCTGACTAGTGTGGATAGAGGGGCCTCCCAGACCGCCAGTGTCAGGGGCCTCCCCAGACCAGTGTGAATATTGGGGCCTCCTCAGATCCACTAGGGCCTCTCAGGCCATCAGTCTCAGGGGCTTCGACTGACAAGTATGAACAGAGGGCCTCCTTGGATCCATCACGGCCATTTGGAGTCCGTGCGTGGGGATTCGTGGAACTTTGTTTTACCGAGTTTGTTTATTCTGGAAGGTGACGACGTCCTCTCAAATCGAAACGAGGGGCCTCGAGTAAAAAGTGGGTGGGCCAAAACACATGGTTGGCCCCCCCATCTCGAAAAGTGGGTGGGCACTTGCCCACCTGGCCCCCCCGGTTCCTACGCCTATGACCGGCCAAGAATTAGTCTGGCACTTTGCATCCTAAGGCCATAATACCTCACATCGTCTCAACTCTCACGCATTCCAATGAAATAAAACTACCGAGCCGAATGCAACGAAAGCGGCACTTCAGATATGTATATTCCTTTCACCATGCACTATTTCTTCAGCCGTTTCTAAACGGTGACATTATGTAGCTCAGTTGCTGAGCTGCACGATGGCTGCAATCGAAAAGTTGCCATTTAGAGCCCAAAGCTTAACGTACGTACGCAGTACGCACATACCCGAGCAGGGTCGGTTTCCTCACTTAATTCGGCTGGCTACGGCCTGCCACCAACCGCAACCATCGCGTCAGGGGACCCATAAACATCGAGCGTCTGTCGCGCTTCGTACCCGGACTTTTATAGCCGGGATGCTTGCTCTCGTCCACGCGAGTCCAACGCTCTATGACTGAGCTACGGGACTGGTGGCTGAGGGTTGAAACGGAAAATTAAGTAACATGCGACAGATCACTTGGATGAGAACTTGCTATCAGCTGTTTTCATTGATAAAATTATCATTTCAAAAGCCATGCATGTCACTCGTAATTGTGCTCTTCTATCATCATACTTGCACAAACAAGTGGACTGTGACCCTCTTTCGCTAACACTTATATGTTATGTCTAGACTAGTTAGGAGACTTCCGAAGAGTGGGACGACTGAGCAGACGGTGGTAGATATTTAGCCGTGTGAGTTACCTGCTATCCTAATTGGTACATTTTTGTCTTAACGAATAATCAGCGGAAACCCTTCTCAGCTTGACTATTTGCTCGCGTATGTACTTACATACATAATGCAAAAAAATATGCGAATCGTTTTAAACAAGTTTCATTCAACATTATGCCAAAATAATGCAGATATATCGCAGATATTGTTCAATGGGCATGCATTACTACCTAGTGCCGGGGGAGTTCCTACATTTTACAAGAAGGTACAATTTTTCAGACTATTTTTTTCATACCTAAGATATGCAAAGCAAATAGCAATTAACGGCATACTTTTCACGCCATTTTACAACAATGGGGGACCTATTTGCGTTACGCTTATCATGCTAAAGCAAAGGGCAGCACCCCTCTCCTCGCTGGCTCGTTTTCCTTTTTCTCCCGTTGGGCCAGGTCTGCCGGTTTGTGCGCAGCCATCTGTCGCTGCCGCGCCACTGCTCGTCATGCGCGCTGAATGTGGCGCAGGCTACGCGCCACGATCAGTCAGCGCCGCAGAAAGGCTGGGGGCGTGGCGCATCCGCCCGAACTTCCATGAAAGTGAAAATACACGACTATCGGGTCCGGCTACACAGGGGAGGGGTGTGACTCGAACGGGGACCCTTCAGCGGACCCGGCAGCCGCCACCTGCCACCGGCCGGACCGCGGCCCCACCAGTAATGACTTTCAAAAACGCCACTTTTGTCGGCAATCTCTGCCGGTGGCGTACGATGAATGGTGTGTTTTCATGAGCGTGCTGCATAATGATCCATGTTGGTCGTTAAATTTGCATCATTTGTTGTAATTCATTATGCCTTATGATCATACGCCACACTTACTCGACAAATAAGGCATTCCGTGTTGATGTGTTCTAAGCGGAAATGGTTGTGGTGCTAAGGCAAAACTAAAATGCCCGCATGCAATTCGAGCAGCAACATATGTAACATATGAATGTTTGCTTTCTTTTTAATTTAGCACGAATGTTTGAATAAGCGTTGCGCGTGCAGAATTGGAGCTTACGCTATGCAGAGTTGGTAGGGCTATTCCGGGTAACGGGAACAATTTTAATGCCTCAAGCTTTGAAGTGCCTTTCAAAGCCACACACGGTCAGTCCCGCTCAACTGACTTCGATTGGATGTGGATGCTTCCAGGCAGAAAATCAAAACCATTCCTGGCAGGTATCAGAGGCAGGAGCATCTCGAGGCCGTGCCTCCTCACTACTGGGATTCCAACTCTCTATCAACTGAGCTCCGCGATGATGTAAATAACATGGTTATTGGTTAATCATGACGCACCTTTTCTTTTATGGAAGCACCGACTACTGGACCACTGTAACACATGTAAGCAGGTAAATCGCTAAACCTCATGCATCTTTACCAAAGCCCTGTCTAATACGTAAGATCTAATACGTAAATGGCTTTCACTGTTCACATTTATTCTGGACTAATGACTTAAACCGTTAAACCACCCAATTAAGAGCTGCTGTAATTAATAATCATCCGTCAACTGACATTGGTTGTCAGTGACGCGCGCCGATAAAGCTCTGCAGCTGGCACACTAATGACAGGACATTTTTCTGTGTCCTATCCATAAAGACCCTCGAAACGTTTGAAACGCGACTGTTTCATGGAACACTAAATGACAAATTAACCTCACCTTTGAAGGATCACTCTCGAGACCTCCACAAGTTTGATAGCTTCGTTTGTAAAAAGCGAATTCGCCGATGGAATTTTTACAAGCCTTTTTATGAATCGCTGCCGCTGCCGGCGTGATAATTTGTCAGTGAGGCGTGAGAGAGGTGCCTCCGGGGAGAATACCACCGCGGACGGAGGCCAAGGGCCGTCATTAATCGCCGGGACGGGCGCAGCGGCACCCGATCCACAATAGATGAGGCGGAAATACGACAGTCATTCAGAAGGTGCGTGCCGACGGGCGTGACTGAGCGACGCGACGGTCGGCCACAGAGCGGCTCAGAGCTACAGTCAACCGTCCACGGTAGAACGACAGTCTGCGATGCAAGCGACAGTAGTTATACCAAGCGACAGGCAGCGACGTATTGTACATATATATTCATATATAGCTACCTTACGCATGGCCCACGGTCGGTCACGGAGTACAGAGCAACACCAGGGCACTGAAGAGCGACACCGAGCGATAGTTTACGCGACTGCCGGCAACAGGGCGACAGTCGGTGGCGCACTGATGGGGCTTCACTATGGCCGATACTTAGTGATCTACCCATGTTTCAATGTCATCCACCTAAGGTGATTTCGGCTTTGGTGGATTGACTGCTACCTGTTAGTTGAGCAATGGAACGGTTGGCTTGGCTGTGGTAATGAGACCAATTCTGAGACCGGCTAGGACGTGTCAACGCAAATGCGTCCCGGGTTTATGGTTGCTGATTTATCTTTATTGTCGTACCATCATATATACTGCTTTCATAAGCATCGAACGCTAGCCTGAAACACATTTTCGTGTTGTAGCTAATTTCAGACAGACGTTAGGTATCAGCGAGCGAACGACACCAGCGAGAGTGAGTGAATTATTCTGCGGTCTGGGAGAACACAACCAGTATGCAGCCCAAACCTGCCAAACCTGCATATGAATGACTTGGCTGGTTGCGCTCATATAAGCGCTCGCTATTTGCGCTCGCTGGTGGTAGTGGTATGCTATCTATCGCTTAGTGGTATGTTATCTGTTCCCAATCTAGGTATGCCTTACGGCTATGAACATTTTACGGCGTTTATTAGGAAACGACTTTCGATGCAAATGTAACAAAACATGTTTCTCGAATTAAGAAATGTAAAAAAGTCGAAAGTGTTGCATTCTAATTGGTGAGTTTTCACCCACAGGGCATCGTCAGACGAGCAAATAGCATTGAGCAAACATGTATGTACAAAAAAATCAGACCGCCCGCCGGGACTGATTGTTTTCATATCATGTTTTTATCTGTCACAGGAAACAAAATGTCTTCTGTAACAAAACATCTTAATTCCATAGAAACCTTTGCCTGAAAGCTAATGTTTAATCAGATCTTTACGATCAGATCTAATGATCTGGGAAAGTAAGAACCAATCAGCACGCCGGGCTGGCTCCCCTCCGCTCTGATTGGCCGAGAAGCGTGGCTTACGGCGGCGGCACCCTAATAGAGCGATCAATGTCACACTTCAGAAGGTGCCAATAGTTAGCGGGGTGCACCGTTATGGGACGATCGGGATAAGTCCCGTGGTTGACCTCTATCAGGAGAATCATCTTCTGCGCCGGTGGTCTACTGCGGTACAGCTGTATCGAGTGTCATCGGGATGCACCCAAGCTCGTTTCCCCGGCTGTGCGTTCCCGTTCCGTGGCCTCTGCGCCCTGAGCTGACTCTGACAGACCACCGCCTGTCACTGGTCAACCATCCACTGTTGTGGCCTCGGGGTACTGCAGTGACCTGTGTCACCCCGCCGCACACTCTGCTGACCTCGCCGCTGACCCCAGTGACCCCTCTGCTACCGATGGCAGTGACCTCCGGGGTGTCTGTGCTGACCCCGTCGAGGGCGGCGCCAGGGAGGTCAGAGAGGGACATGGGCATTCCCCTGTGTGTGCCGGCTGCGGTCAGCGGGGGTGACCTGAGACCTGAGGTCACCTCGCCAAGTGAGCTGCCCAGAAGATTGGCAGATGGTGGTGAAACGACTCTAAAAATACCGAGTGCTAAACGCAGAGTGACTCTGAAATTTGGTGTCAGTGCGATTCTAGGTACCGATCGCGAAAACCCAGTCCGGGGGAATGGAACCTTCCAAGGTGAGACATATAGGTAGTCAACCGAGCTACATGATTGCTGATTGCTTATATTAAAAAAACGTTGCTGTGAAACTTCATCGTGTGGACCATTTTGCGATGTACGTACATTTTGCCATATTAAATTTGGGCATCGTGGAAAACAACAGAGATCGACAACATTATTTTTAGAGGTTGAAATAAGTTATCGGTCGTGCCCATATGTACATAGGTTCCTGTCACGCTATAAAATTAAAAAAAAAAACAGATGGCTTTATTATAACCAGATGGCTGTACTATTTCGTCAGAGTGTGAGATCGACATTCGAGTCTGGAAGGGTTGACTCCGATCCGATCTAAAGAAGACTCCAAAGCGGTTTCCACGCGTGTCTAAATGGCAATCGTAATTTGAAAAGCGTTTCCCAGAGGAATCGGAAACATCTTCGCTCGCCTTCGCACATAAAGCGGTCAAAAGACATACATGGACATAGCGGGTACTAAGGGGAACACGGATAACAAGAAATAATTGTGGCTCAAATCGCGTGCAAACTCAAGATTCCAATACATTACGAATGGCATTGTGTCCCTTTCTTGTGGAAATCGCCCCATGCCTTTGGTTGAATAAAAGCAGCAATCGATGTTCCTCTTACTCACCATGGCCGTCTATTGACTGATATTTATTGTTTTATTGATGTTTTTTTACGTTTAGGTAATCACTGAAACTAGATTGTCTTGAACAGCAAAAAAGACGCAATAGTACAGCCCACCGCTAAAGTAATGTAGGATTTTACAAATCTCAACGGTTGGCTTTGACTGGCGATTGTTTAATGCGGAGTGATCGAAAAGAAGATGTCAATAGCTAAAGTTGCAGCTGCAAGGGTAACGATGCATATAAGCTACATTCAAAGTTTCATTGTAGTCTGGTTAATCGTTCCTAAGCTTCAGAAGCAGAACATACCCATGACTGAAACCCCACATTACTTCTGCTGTGGACTGTATCTACGGGTAGATGACCTGAGGAGACCTTTCAATTAAATAAAAGTGCCGCAGTAAATTGTGATAGCTCGTTTGACCATTTGTTCCTTACTTTGCGCTTTCAGCGAGGTCCAGTCGATGTAGCAGCTACACAGAATCAGAATCGCCTGGCCTTCCCACCGGGCTAGCCACTGCGTCCCCTCGCCCCGGACAATGTTGTAAAGCGACATCTACCGTTGGGACCCTCCCTCGTGGGAGTTGGACTGATGACGTCATCGGTCACGACGCGTCATCTGTTTACGTCACCAGCCCATTGTCGGTGCATTCAGTGGCTAGCCGGTTACCGCTTCTTTTCGGTGAGTAGATACTCAAAAGGGAAAAGTCAGTTTTACATTCTGCTTGCAATGTCGTTAGTTTCAAAAATACAATGGTTACGGTAGCTATATTCCCATGCATAAAACTCGCCACTCTACGGCTTTATTTTACGAGTGTAATTTGTCATAATCTATGAGCGAGGGCCGGTGCGTGTTCTGACAGCGGTCTCCCTCTCTCCGTGCAGCAGTGCGGCGGCGTCGCAGCCTCCTCCGCCGCCCGGTGTTCTCAGAGGCTCAGAGACGGGGCCTGGAGGCCAGGTTCCAGACCCAGAAATACATCAGCAGGCCGGACAGGGCGCGACTGGCCGACACTCTGGGACTGCAGGATGCACAGGTGGGCAACTATATGCCGCCAGACGCGTGCCAATAACTTTGGCCTTCTGAGCAGTAATCGCCACGCACTTTGTATGTGGATCACTCTTAAAATAAATGAATAAATAAATAACGCGCCACATGAAGAATTCACCCTAAAGGACATGCATTCAATCACACCGAAACAATATTTGCTCTTGCAATGCTTGCACTTTTTTCGCAAGAAGTTAATTTATGATGCAGTATATTCTCACTTGGCGCAGGAGGTCGACTCCTGGGTGTCGTCCATTTTGCCTTTAAACCACTATTTGTTATCTGATGGCTTCTAAACCACTATAAGTTAGTTGATAGCCTTTCCACTCTTCGCGTCAGGTGAAGATCTGGTTCCAGAATCGGCGTATGAAGTGGAGAAACTCCAAAGAACGAGAGCTGCTGGCGAGCGGTGGCAGTCGCCAGCAGACGCTGCCGACCCGGAACAACCCTTATCCGGACCTCTCTGACGTCTCCGGGCCGGGAGCTGACGCCCGGAGCAGCCTGGAGGATGGTTATAGGCCCGGAGACGAGACGAGGGGCCGCTCACGCCCCGATCGAACCGCGGAGGTTCCGTCACCGTCTCGCCCCGGCCTGTCGCCGCGAGACGCAAGTAAAGGAGAGTGTGAGCGAATGATGAGTGCGTCCAAGAGCGTTCAGGTTCGTCTGAGTGGTGAGTTGTTTGAAGTTGATAACTGTAGAAAGAATCCATCGTGAATAGATTTATAAGTTACTTTTCATTTTTGTGCTTTAAGCTCTGGCCACTCGCCACCTAATGTGCTACTGCTAATCCATGGAATGGCATAGCGGTCTGCTATTATTGCAAATAAGACGTTTACTACATATAGCAGAAGTTGCGTTTTAACCCTTTCATCGTCTTGAAAAATAGACACTCAAAAGTTTGGATCATTTTGACGATACTATAGCATCTTCCTAAGGATCGGGGGAGGGAGGTCTGCCTGGGCCTGTGTTAGGTGTCGCTGTTGCGTCGCAGTCACCGCATATGAAGATGTCGCTAGTGTAGCAAAACTGCCTCCGCGACAGCCGACAGGTTCCATGGTGTTTGCCTATTGCCTACATACGACTGGTCGACGACGACGTGCAAAGTGTTGCAAAGTGTTGCTGTTTTATTATAGGACTCTGCCTTTGATTGGGGTGTCCCCGTCGACGATGACTTTAATGAACTAAGCTAAACTAACGCGTAGACCGTTTTTAGCGTTCTACACTTTGGCACCTGAATGTCGCCTCCTTGACGAATACGTAAGTCTTCTGTAATTGACCTAGCCAAAACTCTTACCCTATTATAATTCTCTTGGGCACGATATGATGCATAGCCATTAGCAATAAGTATTCAGCATAACGTTGAAGGCGAAATGTAGGTTTGTCGTAGTTTTCTTGATTTTTAAGAAAGGCCAATTTTCATACCACCTTGATAATGTGGTGTTCACCGTTTACCTACAGCTAACAACTATGGGACACCTTTAGTTTTCATTAGGCATTCTCCGAAACAGTTTTTAAGGGGTTAGATGCAATGCAAACACATCTCTTACCAAAGAGCCCTGACAATAAACGATTTTCCCAGCATCCTGCGCTTTTATATGCTACCTGCATGCATAGACAGAGACACATTAAATTGTGCTTAATGCCGTTATGAAATTCATGGTTGCAATGTTCGATGCATCCCGTCCTCACATTTTCATTGTGTTTGCGATATACATAGTTACATAGACCCTACCAGCTACAAAACACCGAGTTTGAGCGCATCAGCTCCGTGTATTTATAACGATGGCTTTCGTACGACACTGAAAGACAGAACATTGCATAACCAGAGTCCACTACAACAGTGGCCTAGTGACATCACCTTGTCACTGAGCACAAATAAGGCATGCAAAGACACTCATGCGAGACTCTCCAAGTTCAACGACGCGGTAGCTCAAGAGCTTTGGCTACACCATTCACATATATCATCGCAAACCACGAAGTCATGAAATGCGCACGAAAAAATAACAGCACCACCTTACTTCATCCCAGCTAGTTTTGACGACGGACTCGGGTCAAGCCATCGAGTAGAAGCTCGTTGGCCTCTGCCAGCTTTCTGAACAGGACATCGCTGTCGTCATCATAGTACGCGTAATCATAATCACTGAGCAGCGGAGCGGTCTGGCGCCGCTGAGGTGCCTCCGCCTGCGCTCTGGCTGCGGGGCGGCCTCCGTACCGACCTCTGGACGACGGCAACACCAGGCGCGTGGCACCTGAGCGAGCCTCCCTGGCGGCGACACTCTGCTGCAGGCGGCGACTGCGGCCGACCGCCGGCAGCGCCGAACGCAGGGGGAGTTTCGGCTGGCGCAGCAGTCGGACCCCGCCTGGAGCCACCTCCTTGTTGGTCGGTAGTAGGACGGGAGAGGGAGAAGGCTCTGGGGACAGTAGCGCAGGCGCAGGTGACGTTGAGGTCTCCAATGATGCTGAAGGAGTGGGAGGAGACGGTGCTGGAGACGGGGCCGGAGACGGTGCCGGAGATGAAGCTGGAGACGGTGTCGGTCTCGCGGTGTTAGTATCGGCAATCTGACGGCGGCTGGGACGGCGGTTTGGACGGCGGCTCGGTCGGCCTCGGATCCGGATCCTTTTACGGATGATGATCGGGGTGGTGGAGGCAGCCTCAGTCGTGGTGGTGGCCGGGGTGGTGGTGACCACCGCTGGTTCTTCCGCCTTCCTCTGCGGTTCCCTCACTCTCTGTGAGAGCACGCCTGTTGGCCTGCTGATTGAACTGGCAGTCGCCTGGTCTTCTTCAACGAGGGATGTCTCGGTGGTGGGCCGGGAGACGACCTCTTCTTTCTTCGGACCAAGCTCCAATTCTGTCGAGTCCACACCGACGCTGTTTTGCTGCACCTCTTGGCGGTCGATGTCACCCCGGATCACCTTCTGTCTCCTCCGCACCACCGGTTTTACCGTCACTCTACCGGAGCCGAATCGTCGGCCCCCACGACCTCGTCGAATGGTGGAGAAACGGGACCTTGACGGAGCTGCGGTGACCAACTTGTTGCGGGGAACTGCAGGTCTCTCCGTCGGAGAGGAGTTGGAGCGGCTGAAGGCTGCCGCTGTAGCTCGTGGTCGAGCCAGATTAGAGTTGGAGGAGCTTCGACCGGCAAATCCACCACGTCTTCTTGATCCTCTCCTTCGAACAGTGGGAATGGTGGTGCTGAGGTTCTCTGGTGATGTGTCTGGTGTTGTGGATTCGGTGATGATCTCAATGCCGTCATCAGTAGAAGTTTCAGTGGTCACCACTTCACTGACAGTCGTGGTTGCAATCGAAGGGGGAGAAGGCGTTTTTGTCGTCCTTGGTCTGAACGTCGTCACGGCCACATCGTCCTCCTCTGGAGTTTCGGTGCGACTACCAGATGTAACCACCGCATTCTGTCTCACCTCACCACTGCTGACACCAAAGCTCTGAGCACTGCGTGCAGCAGCCTCAGGCAGCACACTTGGTCCGAAGAAACTGCGAACTACCGGACTGAGAGAAAGAGCCAGCTCCGTAGTCGTAGGCTCGAGCGGCCGTGGCTCAACAGGAGACGAAAATGTGAACCCAACTGAGCCGGATGGCGTGCTAGTGGGTGCCAAGCGACCGAAACCACGCTGGGAATCCTTCGAGGGGCGGTCAGAGGAAAGCTCGTTGTCATCGATGTCGTTAAGTCCTCTCCAAACCGATGGCTGAGTGGTCGTAAAACGGGACTGTGTTCGTGACGCGAAACGAGACTGGCCTCTAGCAAAGGATGAGGTACGAGAGAGCTTCGACGTTTCACCCTTTTCTTCGGCTATACTGCCCCCGAATGAATTGGACCTCTGATCTTGACGACTGGTGGCAACATTAGAGACAAGAGCGGCCGCTGTCGGAGCAGCTTTCACAGGAGATTGGATGCTGCCGACGTCTCCGACGGTAATCGCCGCCGTGAGCGTCGTTCGACCGGAGTTTCGCTGTGAAGAAAGGGTATTTTTGGGGCGCTCTGCGGCTTTTTGGTTTCCCTCAAAGGAGGAGAGTGAGTTCAGGCGACCTGAGTTAATCTCGAAGGTCTGACTCTCAGCTGGTGCAGAAGTTGGAGGAACGCGATCTGATGTCTTTTGGATTGACTGACTTTCGAAAGTCCGTGCGGTACTGTCGAAGGATTGGATGGCGTTACTATCAAAGCTTCCTTGATCCTGGCGCGGACGACCCGCTACCAACTCAAACTCTTGCTGCGATCTCTCTTCAGACTCAGTTACTGAGAAGCTCGGACGTTCCCTCTCCACCACAGACTGGTCAGCAGACGACCCTTTGTCAGCACCCCTGTCCAGCGCGTTCTCCCTCGGCGGGAGTCTGGGTGGTTCTGTGATCGTCCCTGTGACGGTGCTGCCCCTCCATCGCGCAGCGTTCGGAGCGGTGACGATCACAGGCCGGGCGGTGCTGGCAGCGACGAACTGATCGAACCGGTTCACAGGACGAGCGGTCGTGGTGGCCCGCTGGGATGAGAACCGGGGAGCAGCGGGGAGTGAGCTCTGGCCGGCGCTGAAGCCGGTGTCGTATTCGTAGTCGTCCAGCTCAGGAAGATCGTCCTCATGCAGGACGTTGAAGGCGGTCTCCTTGTTGGAGTGGGTCTTGAAGATCTCGAAGTTGCGTGCGTGTAGAACTGAGTCGAGCTCGCAGACAACCTCGAACCAGTTGGCGCAGATCAGGTTTTGCTGGTCGAACACCGTATCGTTGGGGCACAGGAAGCGGAAACTGGGGCCCTGCAAACGAAAAGAGAGGGTGAGTCTCAGTACGACACATTAAAGAATCATTGGTGTGCAGATGGCAACGAACCTAGGGCTGATAAATATATTCGTATTAGGGCTGATAAATATACTCGTATTATGGTTATCTTTAATAGCAATGACATGAGATATATACACAAGGCGAAAAACAAACATATCGGTGCAGAATAATTTGCTAGATCCCAACTAGTCATCGCAATATAAATGTCGCAATCAAGGTTCAAGTTCAAGCTGTAGGTTTATTAGGAAGGAAAACAGCTGTTGAAATATTATAAAAGCAGCACGACGCAGCTCTTTTGCGGCATTTACATGACGGCAGCGATACGAGTTTGCTGCCGACAGCACATCACATGTGTAAGCTCGCATCACCGACCCACTGCACTGACCTGTCCCGAGCCACACACGTGGAACATCTGACAGCCCGCCTCGACGTCAGCATAGTACCCGCCGGGCTGGCGTCCGCGGCACGAGAAGCTGGTCTCGGGCAGAGCGTCCGGACTGTAGTTGGGGGGAGGTCTCTGCGCACCGCTCTGCCCCACCATCACCGCCAGCAGGAGCGGTAAGAACGGCACCATCGCGGCTGAAACGGAGAGAGAGAGGTGTGAAATGAGGAGAGAGAGAGGGAGAGGGGAGAGAGGGGTGTGAAATGAGGAGAGAGAGGGGGAGGGGCAGGACAGAGAAAGAGAGGAAGAGAGTAGAGAGAAAACGGAGGAAAGGGATCAGAGAGGAAGGGAGAGAGAGGGAGGTAGAGAGAGAGAGAGAGGGAGAGGGAGAGAGAGAGAGAGAGAGAGAGAGAGAGAGAGAGAGAGAGAGAGAGAGAGAGAGAGAGAGAGAGAGAGAGAGAGAGAGAGAGAGAGAGAGAGAGAGAGAGAGAGAGAGAGAGACGAGCTGTCAATATTGGTAGTGATGCTGAACGATTCATCCAATATACCACTCATCCTAAATAACATTTTGCCACCTAAATCTGCTGCTATCTATCCATTCATGTGTTCTTACACACTGTCCGTTGATTGGCTATTTACATTCAAAGCATTCGACGTCTCTGCCCAAGGGCAATTGGATGAACAATCACATAATCTGCTGAGTGCTGGCTGTGTGTTTCGTTAATGTCTTGAATTTCACGCTTAGCCTGTCGAGGGACAGCAGAGATTGATGATGTGAATTTCGCAAGTGAGGGCATCTTAATTATGAGAACTATATTTACCGTATCCTATTTAAGACTGCATAATCACTGATTGAACCCGTATTTAGATGTTCATTTTATGTTGCGCCATAAAAATCGTATGTTATTACATTGTGAAGGTATCGCGAAAATATAAAACAGTCCTCTTTCAAAACTTTCATTCTCAAACATTTAAATTAACCGCGCTCATTTCATTAGCAAGGTTTGTGCTGCATGAGCTTAGAAGGCCAACGTAAGTCTGACAATACCGATTCACTCTCAGTATACTTTGATTTATTGGGCCACTCATAATCTGTTATTTGGCATTGCCGTTAAATGTTGGCGACTGCAGCGCAGCGCTAACACCATCACCAGGAGACTGCATCTCCGGCCAGGACGGTATCACCAGGAGACTGCATCTCCGGCCAGGACGGTATCACCAGGAGACTGCATCTCCAGCCAGGACGGTATCACCAGGAGACTGCATCTCCGACCAGGACGGTATCACTAGAAGACTGCATCTCCGGCCAGGACGGTATCATCAGAGACTGCACTTTTAGCAAGGGCAATATCACCAAAGACTGCCTCTCCAGGTAGGGCACTGTCACTAGAGACTGCATGTCCGGGCCAGGGCACTATCACCAGGAGACTGCATCTCTGACTAAGGCACTATCACTAGACTATCTCTAGCTAGGGCGATATCACCAGAGACTGCATCTCCAACTAGGGCGCTACCACTAGAGACTGCATCTCTGACTAAGGCACTATCACCAGGGGACTGCATTTCCGGCTAAGACGCTATCACTGAAAGACTGCATCTCCGGCCAGGGAGGTATCACCAAGAGACTGCATTTCCGACCAGGGCGGTATCACCGGCTCAGCTGGCGGCCGGGCGAATCAGCTGACTGGGGGGGGGGGGGGGAGGACCCACCGGGCGCGGTCGGCCGGGCAGACGCTCGCTGTTGAAACGACGATTGACCCCTGACCCTGGCCGCCGGACGGCGCGCTGGCATTCGAATTACCATCTTCACGGCGCGCCGCACCGCCGGATAGGGCGATTATGAAACAACAAGCCGGAATGTTGGCATTTCGGGGGGTCGGTGCCGGTCCGCGGACACCCCACAGCGACCGCCGGGTCGACCTTGGACGACCTCGCCAGGCGACAGGGGCTTCACGGCGCGGCAAAAACCGCGCGCTGGGAGGTGGCAGGATTTATGTGCTAGCTTTCTAAAGACAGTGTTTGCATCGAGAGAGTGGGGTAAAACTAAATGACTCCACCTATCGGAGGAGGTGTTGATCGTAACAAGCCCCATTAGGAGAGGCGCAATATGCTGTTAGGAATAAAGGTGTTGTGCTAGAGGTGTTTTATGTTTGATCATGAAATATTAATGAGCTGGCCACATACTTTAGGCGAGATGCGCGTTGCGTCTATAGTAATTGTCGCTGCATGGACAAATGGACACCTGTTTGCGCCCCACCCGAATTGCTTCAAGAGGATTTATTTGTTTATGCATGGCTAAAGATGAGAATACAAAAACCTGCAACACAAGAACGAAGGATTATGTTGCTCTTAAGGCGCCATACTGTATCATCTACAGTAAATTACCCCAAGCCAAGCACCGAATCGCCGTCTTACCTCGACAGTGTGTTGTTTTCCGCTTGCTTGTGCGGCTATTCGCCGGTCTAATTTCGACTCGATTTCTCGAGACTCTATCTGTGACGGTACGCAGCGCAGCCTGACACCTGAAACAGAATCACAGGCAGTAAGTGGACGTGCTATATAAGCGTCATGAGGGGTGGATCGATTTGAATAATTTGTTGATAACTACGTTCTGCAATGCTAGTTTCTGTGTTAAGCTCACTTGAATGGGATTTTCTTTACGCATGAGACCAATACCACTGCTTCTTCTTTTTTTTTCTTAGAACAACCGTAATCGTATGTAGCACAAAAATACATTGTTGATACTTGAACGGACTAATTCAATCTATCCCCGTAATTGACGTAACCGAACACCAGCCTGCAAACACGGATTATCTGATCATGACGCGGACGCTGCGCGTCACTGCGCCATCTGCCCGGTAGCACAGATTTCCCACGATCGCAGCGTTACATCACGCCCGATCGCGGGCTGAGATCGAAAGTGTTCCTCAGGGTATTGTTGTAGGGCCGCTCTGAGTCTGACAGGTGATCAGACGTGTCACTACCGGCCGTCTCCGTCACCGAGAGTAGGTGACACGCACCACCGCTCAGGCGCGTCCCGTTACGCGAGAGGTAAGACGGGCAGGAGCGAGTGACGATGAGGATTTCAAAGGACGTGGTAGAAGGAAGTGTAAATCATCCACGGGATATGACGGGAAAACATGTTGAAGCAGACTAATATGTCTGTTTTTGTATCTGAAAGAAGTCCACAATCGCTGTCTAATGATATATTTTTAAAACTTTTCTTTGCGATTTAACTTTTAATTTTACAGGGTATTCAATATATGTTCAATAGTTTGTTAATGTCTGATAATAAGGTAGGCATGGCTTATGCCTTATATAAAATACCAACTCATGCTAAGTGGAACACACCGTTATTTGAACGTGCTAGTTTGCCATAGACCTCGAAGATAAACTATCAAGATGACCTTATTCAAACCACTAATTATCTCGCAGCCAATGGTCCGGCTAAGCCCCTCTCGCTCATCAGCAGCGGTCGGGAGACCGGAGCTCGTGAGTGGGTCCGGATACGGCCCACAGGCACGGACGCCGCTCGTGAGCGTCTTCATACAAACGACGTCATGAGTGGCGTCCCAAAGGCCGCCGGCTAATGAGCACCAACGAAAGGGCGGCCCTGAGCCGATCAGATAACCCAGGTTCCAGAGAGGTCTAAATAAAACACACGCTGACCGGCTGCGGCTTGACCGGAGAGCACACACTCGCTTCACAGCCAGATTGAGGGCCTTGGATGGCCCTCAGCTGGGTGACGTGCACGATAGAATGGTGCTTCACGTGATAAGCATGCAATAGGTGATTCTCTGGTTTTATAATAGCTGAGCTAGCGCCATTAAAATTCGCTTAGTGTTATGTCATGGTTGCAAGATGGTCTAATTTATCTTTTTATGACGGTGGGAGTACGGATCCGCAGCCTCGCCCACGGAAGCTTGCTGCCTGGGAACCTCTGTCACGCTTGATTCTAATGAGCAATAAACGTTGGAGTAATTACTTGATAAGATTATCAAGCCGTAACGAATGAAAATAAGAGCGACCGGCACACCTCATTGTTTTAGCCGTCTCGAACGAGTGTGGGGCAGGAACACACATTTGAAAACATTCCGCGTCATCATCTGACCCATACTGAGATCCAAAAGGCACTTCAACATGTCCGATCAGCAACGCTTATCACACACCTGGCCAACAATGACTCGCAGAGAGCGTCACTTTCTGACCTCCAACAACCATCGCCTGGCAATCTCGCTGCCTTATTCTAACCACGGTAAATACCTCAACAAAATAACACCACACTTTCTTTACTCAGTCGGTCCTTTGGACCGAGCAAACAAAGGGCATCTCCACTTCCACCCGTGATAGAAAGCTGCTATTCTCTCAAAGACTGTGCGCTCACACTGCAGTAGGGCGTCGGTATCACGCAATTTTTGTGACCACTGACCACCATATGTTAGTAGGGCGGCATTTAGGCCTCACGCTAAAAGCGAAACGTACCCAGAATACGCTCTTTAGTCTGCGCGTGGACATCGAGCCAGGAGACAGGAAGAGAAAGAGCCAGGTAGGCAACAAAGAGGCCACATAAGGAAAAGAATCAGCAAATGATCCAGTGCAGGAGCTAGTGAGGTAGCTAGAGTAGCGATGCCCGGGCAGTAGTGGTTTTGATATTGAGGGCACATGCTGAGCGGGCTTTGAAATGGAAAAGGTCTATTGCGGTAGCAATAAAAGAAGGCGAGGCAGCTAAGCCCTAAGCCTGTTGTTATATTTTTATCCCCTTCTGATCAAGATACAATGCAGTCTAATCATACATAGGTACTCCTAACCGCACCGGGGCCTTTTTACAGTATGGTAACGGCCATATTTTTCAATTTAGTAGTTAGTGTTAGTTACGGTTACAAATAAGGATCGATGCTATCTGGGTTTCATTAGCTTGTATAAGCGCTGGCCGTTTAGGCTAGCAATTGTTACAGTAACATAAACAGGGCGGCCTAGGTATCGTTGCCTCTGTTGTAAACCACTGTGTGACGGCTTCTGTATTATCATTGCGCACTCGCCAATGTCATATCAGGCTGAAAACCTTTATAAAACCGATGCATCTGACTTTCAAACATGCAGCAAAGAACGAGGTAAGACTACTATCTGGCTATATTCGCCATGGACAAACAAATTAAAGTAAGCTGTGTACATCTGGTGCATCCCTAAACGCAGTAAATGGAGAGTGTGGACTTGGAGGGCTATCTTTGTAACATGACTCCTTCCCCGCTGGGTTTGCTTAGTCAGATGCCCCACGACAACTGATATCTGATGTAGAGCGGGATCATTATGTCAGGCCTGCGGTAGCTGGTCGCTACTCAAGAAAAGAAAAGGCAAGGGTGCGCTGCTAGGAAGGCAGGAATACATCTACATAGCTTTTAACATATGTTTTACAGCTGTTATACATATTCTCTTACGATGACTTTTGTTTATTATTATGTCTTGGATTATAAATTAAATGGCTAACTTATCGAGTGACAGGTTACATGCTGTAGATGCTCTGATTCTGCGTCTATGCCCTATGGACTTTTGTTATCTGAGTTCAACAACTCAGGCAGTCAATGAGTTCGGAAGTTTGAAGCTCGCTCTTCAATCACCACTCCTTTGTCTCTTTTAGCTCGGAGACACTCCAACTACTCAATTGTATGTAGTTCTGCCCGGACTGAAAGTCTGTTTGTCTAGCATGAAGGGTGGAGGTGCCCCGTCGCGCGGCCACATGTCTGATGGGCGGACTTGGCCGCGCCCAGAGAAAGGGTGTTCGACAGCGGGAGCTGCTTGTAGCACCACACACACACACACACACTCTCTGAGTGACACGGAACCCGATAGGGTAGAGAGCGTGAACTCTTTTGGACAATTAAATCACGGGGAATTAAAAAGTATAATGTACTGCGCTGTGAGCGCAAAGTTTTATAACAACAATAATCACATGTTCACTGCTCACTTGCCTTATTTTTAACTGATGGCACGATGTTCTTCATTTCTCGACGTGCTATCTTACACACTTCTTCACTTCGTATACGGCTACTTATACTTGATAGCAGCAATGCCCTCCAGCACAGCCATCACCGCTGAACTTTGTTCAGTTCGCCGATGACTATAAACCATAGTACATGTTTGTCATGTACTGTTTGGTTTACGGTTGTCTGTTACGACGCGTTAATCAACATTGGCTCCAGGCTGGGATTAGAGTCACTTTACGATTGTTGACTTCCACAGCACGATCTTAAATGAACCGAAATATAGCTCGATTGACACGTTTATTTCTCATAATACCAATAACTAGGACCTTTTGGTTTATTACCTACACTGGCAACTAAAACTACTGAGCATAGGTATTATTTGCACTTCAAAAGTGCATGCTCCTACATTAGTTACTTGTTAAAAGAGCATATGCTTTCAGTTCAGCAAAACATGAATCAAAGTCGAAAGTGAACTCAATTCAATCGGATCTAAGCTTTAATTAGTTTTATCAGAAGTCCTCGAAATGAAAATAAAACTTTGGATGCGCATGTTGCGAGTAAATGATACGTTCCTCTTAACCCTCGCCCGTAAACGGCGATCTGCCACCTTCGCCCATGCAGGGGGGGGGGGGGGGTTGGTGCGACCCCCCCCCCTTGGCGTTTGAAAACGGAGCGTCGTAGAGCTTAGCGGAAAAGACCAACGGATTGCTCTCGCCGAGATCTCGCGATTGGTGGTATATTTTTTGGTCCTAGGTCAACATTTGACCTACTTTTGACCGGTCAAAGGTCAAATTTTCGGAAAAATAGACTTTTTTCAACTTTCCGCGGCGATTGCGGCAAAACGGTGGGAGATATCGACTTGAAACCTTCACAATCGTGTTCCTTGATCAATTCTCTATCGTTTGGTATGTATTTCGTTTCCCTAGCTCTAAAAATGGCGCGTTGGGAGCGCCGGAAGTCGGCAAGGTCACAGTCGGCGGCAGAAATTCGAAAAATCAAAATTTAAATTTTTGAAATCTGATTGTATTTTTGGATTTGGAAGGTCCATTTGCTCCCTATAAAAGCTAATATTGCTGCATATTCCCATTGAGGTGACAAGAATTGGCAAAATAGTGGTTCGGGCGCTTTTCAAAAATAGTACCGGACGCTGTTCCTCTTGTGACGTCATAGCTCCGTGACCTGACCTGACCCGGTCAAGTTTCTTATACCATATGATAGCCAATACTTGCCCCAACATGCATGGGAAGTTTCATCACGATCCATCAACCGATGTCCGTACCACCGGCAGGAAACCTCGGGCGTTGGCACTCAGTTTGTGAAAATCCGGCCGGAGGCTGTTCCCTTTGTGACGTCATAACTCCGTGACCTGACATGACCCGGTCAAATTTTTTTTATCAAAAGATGCGCAAGGTTTGCCCCATAAGGTAACCAAAATTTGGCGGCGCTGCGCGCCGCCGTTTTTGCACTATTTCCGAAAAACCTCAGGGGGGGGGGGGTTGCACCAACCCCCCCCTACATGGGCGAGGGTTAATTTTCTAAGCAAATGGGAAAGCCCCGAAAATCGACACACTGTTTCGAAAGCTCTTTGAACTGTACGACAACATCGCAACCAAAATTGCTCCACTTGCCATTTCACTGAGTACCCTAAAACTACAATGAAGCGTGTTACACCTTTAGCAGCTCATTTCCGGCGTATTTAGCTCGGCTGCAATCTCCCCCTGCTGTGTTTGCGAGCGTCACACTGCGGCAGCCCATGTCAGCTCCACGCCCGACTGCGCACGGTGCAGTGGAGCGTAACTTGTTGAAGTCGAGTGATGTAGACAGCTTCCTTCCTCTCGAAAACGCCCCGTCAGGCCAAACTTCAGGCGGGAAATCCCGTAAGACGGGGTTGCGCATGTCGCATGAGGAATGGAGCGAATCCGTGTACGAAACAACGACCGATTTTATGCCCAATTACGAGTGAGTACTCGTACTTTCAAAATACAAACAAACGGGAAGTTCTTGTATGATCCAAAATAAAACTTCTGCAATATTTACCTGGTTCAAACATAAGTCTACCCCCACCAGAGTCTCAGCCGTAACTTCATCTGCAGCATATTCGCCAATCGTTCACTCGGCTGCTGTCGGTGGTGACCAGCCGCTGCATTGTGCCACCGTCTCCACTGTACATGACACGCTCCCCGTGGCATCCGCTGGTCATTCGCCAACGGCCGAACAAGTTTTCACTTTCTGACGCCGCTGCGGCGGTCGCGGCGCGGCAGACGGCAGTTGGCCACTTCTTGCATGAGCTTGCGCGATTGCGGAGCACGGCATTTCCATGTGGTTGACGATCAAAGGAGAGAAACTCGTTCCGATGTCTGTTGGGAGAATCGAACTGGCTGTCCGATTGTTCTCGAGTCATTAATTAGGCGAATCGATTTCGACCTAATAGCGTGGAAGTTCTTGGTTTCTCGAAAGGTGGTCGTGCGCACCAGATACACAACGGGCACCCATCTTTTTCATCCTCAGGATCAACACTACGGTAGCATTTATCCACCTGCGATCGTATTGTCCCGATACGTCGATAGCAATTCCCTGTCTCAGGACTGTTCGTGAACCAACCCACACCCACTGGCAGTCGCTAAGGGTAAGTGACTCTGGGTAGGTGTGTGACCAATTTCCGGGGATACCGTTTGAATTGTTGGAAGGTCAATTCAGTCGGGCACACGTATAACAAGACAGACTTAGATGCTTTGGTGCACTAGCAGGTAGCGGGCAGCTCCCTGTTATCCTCTTATCCCACGGTCTAGAAATGGATAACGTAGATAAAGGGGCTCTAGCTCAACAAAAGGGAAAATGGACTCAATAAAAGTGATCGGAATGACATATTTCAAGTTGGATTTTAACGGCGGTGCTATTACAGAACCTTAAGATAATTCGCATCCTTAGAATTTGCATTTTTTAATTGTAAATCAAAACATTTATTCCAAAATCTCATAGAAATTCAAGCATGTTTTCTGCGTCTTAAGCAATGTTCATTTGCAAAAAAAAAAGAAATACACGATCTGAAAAAGGTACATTTTAGTCGGGAGATCGAGCTGAGATAAAAAGCTTTAACCCGGCAGTTGCTGGGGTATTTCGCCACCCACCGTTTGCTGGGGGGGCGTTAAACGCCCCCAGCCGATAACTCAAGAATCAATAGGCGCAGCGAAACGCACGAGGCGGCAAACGAAAGAACGCGACGAGACGCTTCAGATGAGTACTTTAAAGTTGAATTTTGAGATCACAGGTCGGGTCAAGGTCAGGTCAAATACCTGAAATCGGGCTTTCAGTAGCATGGACTTCAGGACTTCGCAATGGGCGCCTATCGTCATAAACTCTGTCAAAACGGTGCACAATCCATCATATGAGGCCTGCAAGAGTGCCAGCTCCATGTAGGGGTCAGTCAAGCATAGGTCAGGGTCAAGGTCAGGTCAACCGGGTAGGCACATATCCCCGAAAATCAAAACTGATATTCGCAGCCTGTGACACATGTTTTATGAGTAATTTGGGGCGTAGAACACGATGGCGACATTCATTTTATCATATGTGTACGTGTTTGGCTCAAAAAGTTCAATTTAAGAAATGCATGTATAATGGTCCTAAAGTAGTCACGAGAAATTGTCAAGATTCAGTTCAAGATTTTGGAAAATGCGGAACGATAATCAATAATCGATGATAGCCATTTGATTGTTCATGGTATTGGCAGTCTAATGGCGTTTACGGCATGTCTGTATGTCTAATGTCTATTCTGTGATTTTATATGAATTTTTGAACACATGCCGTTTTTGGTCGAAAACTCAGAAATCATGACGTCACTAAAACCTCGATATCTCAAAAATTTACCCACTGATTTTTTTTGAAACTTTGTCACAATACACTTCAATCAATTCCCTACAGGTCCCCAAAATTTGGCGCGCCTGCGGCGCGCCGTTTTTATGCTATGGCCCGGCGAAAAAAGTGGGGGCGTTTAACGCCCCCCCAGCAACTCGCGGGTTAATAATATATCATTGTTATTTCTAGGTTAAAACTTCCAACACCTACCTGTCCGTGCAGCAGTCACCGGTGCCTCCGCCGTCCGCCTCCGTCCGTCTCCGTGAGGACTGCCCCTCTCCCACCGCCGCTGGTGCCCGCGCGCCGTCACCGACGCGACTGACGCTCGCCGAGACGCGCCGCCATCAGTTCGTCGACGCAGACGGACGGAGAAAGTCCGCCGGCGCGGTCAGGGTCGCCGAGTCGTCTGCCGGTGACCTCTGACCCCACGGAGGAGGCCGGCCGTCCGCTACCGGGGGCGATCGGACAGGGGGGCCGCTCGGCACCCCTGGAGGCGATAACGGGCCGCGGGAGGGGACTCACGCCGCCGTCTACCGTCAGCGGCGCCGGGACGCGGCGCTGGACGCCTGATCGCAGCGCAACGACAGCGTAAACACAGGGGTAATGGGCCTTTCTAACGAGCTTCACAGCATTCTGATGAGTTTGTTGATTTGATTCGATGTCTTCACGCGATGCGTGACTGGAGTGGCAGAGGTTCTCACCGCTGGGAGTTGCAAATGTAATGAATGAAAGGGGACGCTCACAGTGTTGCGTCCATATCTAAGGAAATGACGAATACAATACTCCCCATGGTTAGCTTGCAGTTACGGGACAAGAACTTCATGTGCTCGCTTTGTGATGAGGCTATGTATGCTAATTGCTAGCATATTTTCACTCTAATAACTACATATCTTTAACTGACATGCATGCGCTGGGACAGCATATTCTTGGAGGTCATTACATTATATAAGATCATTCAATTTCTCCCATCCATGTAAGACCCATGAATGGGTCATTTGTTATCTCTTGTGTCTTTGAGTATTGACGCTGAAGTTAACAAGTAAATTGTATGGTCTTCCCTTTTCGTGTTTCTTCTCTCATCCTTTCCGATGGCATGAGCTGCACAGTACAGACAGAGGCACTGAGGCTCAATGTGTCAATATGCACGCCAATCTTCGCCTGAGCGACATACTGACATAGCCTACAGATTCTTCTCTCGAACACATTAACACTTGTCGTTTGGGTTTCGTTACCCTCAAGTGATTGATGCCCATTTTCATATTCATCACCTTGCATCGACAAATCATACATATTCGACACGAGTTCATGTCTATCCCGAGGATAGCGGCTGGGCTAAATTCGATGCGGCGTTGCGACAAGGTAAAAATTAGCATCGCATTACTATGACACGGTAGGGCTGTCATTAGAGTCACATATCCAGGTGTCCTTCACGAAACGTGTTTATCATTTATCACATGTGAAGTGTGGAGGGACCGGCGAGGTGAGAAAAAAATAGTCATAAAAGTGAGAGGCCATTGAAAGTAAAAGAACTTGGAGGGCGCTTTTCAAGAATAAATGGTACTGAAATGGAACTGAAGAAAACAAAGAGAAAAAAACCAGAGAAAAACATAGGGAGAAACGAGAGAGAGAGAGAGAGAGAGAGAGAGAGAGAGAGAGAGAGAGAGAGAGAGAGAGAGAGAGAGAGAGAGAGAGAGAGGAGAGAGGAGGGAAGAGAGAGAGAAAAGAGAGAGAGAGAGAGGGACAGACAGACAACTCCGACCCGAGCTGTGAGGTGAGAGATCACTTCCGGCCCGGCCCGGGTTTGCCAGGCCGGACGCAGTGACACGGCTGTGACTCGTCCGTCATAGTTGCGCCAATGGTCGCACGGTGTGCAACCCTCGCGGCTGCCCTTGCTGACCCGGCGTGTCGAGAGGAACCCTGGACTCTTGTCCGGTCGTACTCTACACGGGGAGCAGGGACTCACGAACGCCATCACGAACTACTGTCTTTCCCGTTGTCCGCCCAGGGCAGCACGGCGTCACGGAATGACGGCGGTATGTTGCCGGAACATGCCTGAGAGGTCCGTTAACGTAGAGAGCTCTAAAACTGTGGGCGGCCACGAAGGAAGATGGAAACGGCTGGCATTGATAGCCGGATCTACAGAGCTGAGATGAAGGTGTCAAGTACAGAATGTTCATTGTTTATACTAGTATAGGGGAGAGTGGGGCAAAGCGGCCACCCTAACGTTTCTCACGATGCCAACGCTTGATTTTTAAACTTGGAAAGATTCTTTCTATACCAATGTGATCCCTATTAACCCGCGCCCTGCTGGGGTCCTGGATTTCCACGCCCTGCTGGGGGGGGGGGGGTGTTTGAACACCCCCCCCCCTTCTAACTCGGCTCCTGGGCCACGTAGCGATACGCGGAAGCCGGCGTTCGAAAGAGCGTCAAAAATAATGAGGAAATCACTTCGGTCAATTTTTTGGTCAGGTCAAAGGTCAGGTCACCAGAGGTCATTGAAGGCAAAATTTCGCCGATTTCCAGGTCGAATGTCGACAATTTCCAAGAAGCCAACGCATAACTCGGGAACCAATAGAGCTACAGCGCCGCGGAAAAGCGCATTCGATAGCACTATTAACGCCCTTTCTGAGTAATGTTCTCAGATTTGACCTAACGTCAACGGTTTTGCCTGCAGGGGGCAAAAACTGCAAAAATAGCCGATTTTTTCGGAAACAGTTTTTCTGCAATAACTTTTGACCCAAGCCTTGTACGAGCTTACTTTTACCGGCATCGTGTTCCTCTCGTCAAGACGCATCGAATGAACTATAACTTGACCTTGAAAGGTCAACTTGAAAATTTGACCTCAGGTCAAGGTCATGACCTGACCGGAAAGGGTCATGTTGCATATCAGTCGATCCGTATCGTCGAGCTGAACACATCTAAGGCGTTTTCATCGCTCTAGCATGCCTCTATCAAAAGTTATTTGCGAAAAACTGTTAGATACCATTCGTGACCTAAGATGACCTCAGGGCATAAACAGGGGTCACGGACACCATTTTCATGTTCAGTGTGTCTAAACCACTTGTAATTCAGTGTTTGGGAGTGTTTATAATGTCTTTCGTCCAAAAGAGGCGCATTTCAATTTTCTCCCATTGACTTATAATGGGGAGGTCGCAAAATTGACCTGACCTTAGGTCATCGATATCAAAATTCTGAGATATACATTTTGTACATGCTATTGCTCTTAGCAATCACTGAAAGTTTCAAAGCGATCGGTCACTCGGTGTAGCTATGACAGACATTGAAACTTTTTATGAGGTGAGGTCACTTCAAGTGACCTGGTGACCTGACCTTGAATGACCTTGGTCTGAAATTTTTACAACATGTGTAGAATTGATGTATGATAAGGTGTACCAAAAACGGCGGCGCTCCGCGCCGCCGTTTTTGAGATATTCGCGAAAAACCACAAGGGGGGGTGTTCAAACACCCCCCAGCAGGGCGCGGGTTAACCCGCGCCCCGCTGGGGGGGGGGCAGAATCTGCCCCCCTCCCGTTTTTCGCCAATAACTTCTAAACGCGTTACGCCAGCGACGTCAAACTTTCAGTACCTTATCATACATCAATTTGACACGTTCCCTGAAAATTTGAGCGAAATCCGTCGGAAAATTTTTGAGAAATTGACGTTTTAGTGACGTCATGTTCGCCATTTTCGCCTAAAAAACGGCAAAATTTCAAACGCCGCTAACTTCTTCATTTTTAAAGGAATCAAGACGTAACAAAAAGGTTATACGTGATTCTACTTTGTCTATCAAATGGCTATCTCGGTTTTTTGAAAATGTTGGATTTTGACCAAAATTTTTCAAAAAAACTGACTTTTTTGGGAAAATATTTATAAAATCCAAAATTTTGAGTTTATCGAAAAAACCGGAATATATGTCAAAGAAGTGGTCTATGTGCACCTACATACCAATTTTTAGAAGAATCGGTTCAAAAATGTGGGAGTTATTCAAAATTTTATGACGTCACGACACACAAAAATTTTGAAAAATGATTTTTTTGGAAGTTCTAGACCTCGTACGGAAATAAAAATAGCACCATTCGATTCGCCGTGAAAAACTGCATCGGATAGACACCTTTTTAGGCCTTAACAACCAACTTCAAAATTTGACCTCACTTGACCTGACCTTGACCTGACCTCGACCTGAAATTCATCCAGAGGTGGTCCATATCACTTATTGAGTGTGCTTATTGAATTCCATGAGTAAAATGACCCATAAAACATGTGTCGCACCTGCCCTTTTCTATATTTTGTTTTTGGTGACCTGACCTGACCTGACCTGACCTTGACCTTGACCTTTGAATGACATTGTGTGCAACGAATATTGTCTTGGTAGTCTAAGAACACGTTTTGGGCAATCAGTCTCAGTCCATTCTTCGGCAACTACGGTGCAAGGCCAATACTGTAGAAACTTGCATTTTGTACCCTTGACCTGACCTTGACCTGACCTCTGACCTACTTAAGCAAAAAAATTTGGGCTCTTAAGATCCGCCTTGTTGAGAGCTTTCGATTGCCGTTTTCCCCGTCTTTCTACGACCATCGGTTCGGAAGTTAGACGGGGGGGGGGGGCAGAATCTGCCCCCCCCCCCCAGCAGGGCGCGTATGGCTGAATAGCCCAGCGGGGCGCGGGTTAAGTTGCCTTTTATTTCAACTGCGTTTTATTTCCAAAGGCGTTCACATATGAAAGATATTGACAAAACTTTAAACCTATGCATATTGGCCACTTTGCCCCATACCCTGGGGCAAAGCGGCCACCGGCGTCTTCTCAAGACCCGATATGAGAAACAAAATAGTTGCCTCGTGTACGACTAGGGTATTTGATGGTGACAAGGTTAAGCGAGGATGGATGTTTACTTTATCATCTTCCACCTGTAGGTAAACATAGAAAGGATTTTCATGAAAAAAAACATTCAATTTCATTATTTGGTAACTCATGCAACTGAAAAGTGGCCAAGATGAATGCATGACGACACATTTGAATAAAAATAATGTTTTTTATCCAGATGGAAGCAACTTATGGCCAATTGGGGGGTGGCCACTTTGCCCCGGCCACTTTGCCCCGCGCATACCGTCCGAGACAAAAATATTCCAGCTTAGCTATTAGTGGGGTAAAAAACATTACAATTGGTAGAATACATGTACGATAACCATGCAATGCATGGACAAGCACGCTTATAAAAATTCCAAACGGTTATGGAATAACATAACATTTAAAAATTGTAAACATAGTTGGTAACCTGGCAAGAAATGCTTTTCCGTGTTTCACAGAACAATGGTG